AAGGCTTCATCTCACCCTTTGGCTGTGATTTTTGCTTCTTTTCGGGAGCAGCTGTGTTTTAACAGAGGACTCTGGGGTGATGCCAGTACAACAAAGGATGCACCGATGCTCTGTGTGGTTGTCATCCCTGTGCCTTGGGGTCTCGCTACACTGGCAGAGCCAGGGGCACGGTGAGCTCTGGGTCACCCCTCTCTTTCCTTCTTTGCTGACTTCTCCAATACCACCCTTCCTCCGACCTGTGCAGACCCGGAGCTGCTTGGAGCCCTGGAGCAGGGCAGCCGCCGTGTCCTTAGAGAGCCTCCATCCATGGGCAAGTGCTGGTGATGGGTTTTATCAAGTGGAACATCTGCGGGCTGGCAGGCTGTCTCCCAGAGAGGCATTAGGTTTTTTTGGAAGCTTGCTGGTGGCTGGGATCTCTGAGCTTCCACTTCATCATGGAGCCACGTTGAACCTCTGCCACTCTTAAGCCACCCGACTGGGTCTGCATTTATGGAACCAGGGAGTTTGTCATGGTAAGACTCAGCAACATCCAAATTGCTTCCAATAATTTTTAAGATTTGTGTGTGTGCGTGTTACAATTGTACATCCTGGGCCTGTGGTTATCCAATTTAAATGTAGGAGTTTAAAAAAGCACATCAAGCAGTATTTATTCTTATGGATGTTAAGAGTCTCTAAGACTTCTGGGATAACGCGCTAAAACAACAGTCCAGTTAATTATCGGTGCGTTGCAGTGAGAGCCCTGAAGAATCCCAGTATTTATGGAGCGGCTGCCAATGCCAGATGAAGTCACTGCGATTTTCCTCGCCAGCTGTTTGTTTTGTTGAACCACAGCGATTTCTCCAAGTTACTGAAGTTGATGTCATTGGAAGTGATGTGACATTTTTGCACACATATAGAATAAGTGTTAAAAAATGCTCCAGAAGAGCTTTTCCAGTCTTGTCTGGGAGCTGGATGGGGAGTTGAATTAAACTGGCTTGATGGAACTTAATCCATAAAGCAAATGAGTCATCAGGCATAAATGGCTTTACCATAAATGTCAGGCAGATTCTTACTGGTCATGACAGTTAGCACTTACATCTGTTTGGAGCAAATAAAAGCCTCGCAATTCACAATCATCTTCATAAATGTGCTGTCCTGCCTCTTCCTCTTCACAGGAAGCTCTAGGAATAAAGGTCAAAAAGTGATTTATTTCCCTTTTTAAAAACTAGCTCTTCTGATGGATGAAATATCGGTTATTTTCAGGCCAAGATTGACCTTTTTTTTTCTCCACCTCAAATTTTTGTCGAACCAGGAAAGCGCAACTGTGCCTTCCCTCTGCATACTAAGAAGTATCTCACTCACTGGAGCACTTTCTTGAGCCCTGTGTGCCCCGTTCACGTGCCAGGAGAGGACTTGATCCCACCATGTGCACGGGTGCCTGGGGCTGGAGGACACTGTGCTGCGGACTTCCAAGTGATACCAGTGCATCACTGACTTGCTCCCTGACTTAGATACCTCTTTACTTGAAATTAAATCTTAAAAACGTAAATGACTTGGCTGGTAAAGTCTTTAGTCCACTCTTAGAGTAATTGTAACTTCTCTCTCTTACAAAGGCTTCATGGAAAATCCGTTACTGGTGCATGTGTGGTGGAGGGGGGTGGAAATTAATGGTATCTTCGTTATCGCTGCTCTTGCTGACAAAAGCAGATGCTGACATAGGAAGGGAGAGGGGCTTTTGGGTGTTTTGTGTAACCATAACAGTGAAACAAATAGACACTTGAGCGAGGAAAGGGAGCAGAGCTGGCCGCTGCCTTTGTCAGCCCGCGCCGGGGCTGGGGGCAGCTATCTCTTGGGGAAATTTATTAGCGGCAACACACTTGAGAAGACACAAAAGGCTTGCGAACCTCCCAGCACGGCTTGCTCTATTTAAAGTCGGCTTTTTAAATCAAAGAAATGGGGCTCTTGACAGCAGAGCTTTGTGCATCTTTTGTGAAGTTCAGATAGTGGGGCTTTTTATTACAGGCTAAATTAGCCCATTTTATTGTTTTGCACTGAGGGATGAGGTCAGTTGACTGGGAATCTTGCTAACAAGGTTTTACTCCTCGTCTGCTTTTTACAAGTGTTAACACGGGGTATCCACCAGCGCCGTGCACTTGCTGTTAATGGAACAAAGATGAATGGTCTAGCAACCCCGTGAGCTCTCCTCCTTCCCCCACCACGGAGCTGCTCAACCCATGTCAGTGTACTTGAGCTCAGATGCTCCCTGGGGCGCTCATTCCTCCAAAATCGGGTGCGTTGGTTTTCCTTCTGATGTTGCATGCTTGCACGCTGCTGCTGGAACAACAAGAAAAGGCTGAACTTTGCTGGGCAGGGTGATTGATTGGGTTTGAAAAGGAAATGGGAAAACAGTAGGCACGTTGAATGATGCTCATGAAGCGTGGTGAGCTCTGAAGGAGCTGTCTGATGCAGCTCATGCTTTTTCCTGGCACCCTTCGTGGACCAAATTTAGTCAGTTACGTGCTGATTTTCTCAGGTTCTCAACCCAGAACTAGCAGGAAGCTTCCCGTGTTCATCTTTCCCCAGTCACTCAGCAGCAGCTGCCGGGCCAACACCATCCCTTCATGTGTTGAGTGAGGTTGGGGATTCTGCTGTGGCCCCATCACTTGAGCCTGAGGCTCCCGGGACTTGCAGGTGACATCCTTCCATGTACTCACAGGAGCTGCCGCTGCCTTGAGCCATCAGCCCCAGAGGATGCTCAGCTCCCATCGTGCTGCAGGGAAGCGGGGTGGGAGGGAGCCAGGGTTTCTCCCCGTGCAGAGCTCAGGAGCTGCCATCAGCTGAGACTAAAAGCAAAGTCAGCTTTAGCAAATTCTCTTCTGCTTAACCTTTTGCACTGCGTTCAGCCGACGTGCCTTTCTTTGCTTTATCTGTTCCTCGAGGAAACGCAGTTCTAGTCCTGGTCACTTATAGGATGCAGACTATCAGCTCTCCTCGAGGTGTAAATCCAACCTTATCAGGAGGAAAAAGCTTTCAGCCTTCCTTCCTTGCCTCTCGGAGACAAGTACCAAGTCTGCTTTTGTGGCTGTTTTATTTCAGCTTATCCCAACAGCGTCGGACACTCCCCATAACCCTGTGGAAACTGGGGAGCTTCAACCACCAGCTGAGAGAAGGGCATAAATGGTTTAACTCAGCTGTCAGTGAGGGGCAGGGGTGGTTGAGGTCCTGTGTGCAGAAATAGCAGCTGGAAGGATCTTCACATCGCCGACTTTAAGCAAATTGCCGTGGCCAGGTTGGGCATCCTCTGCTGGAGGGAGCTCCAAAGGGGCAGTTGGTTTTGTTGCTCTGAACTGCCTCTGGAGACAGGGATGATGTTACGTGGTGTGGGTAACCCATGACACCCCCCAGCCCCTTCAAGTCTCTGCTCAGGGCTGGGCCATGTCCTTTAGGTGACACCACGGCTGAGTTCCCCATGTATTGTCAGGTGGTGGCCAGAGCTGGCTGGAAATGGAGAATGTTCTATGAGATAAAAACTTGGCGTTTTCTGTTTTCCCAATATTGCCGCCCCGTTTTTGGTGGTTACACTGAAAAAGAAAAAAACAGAACGGTAATGACAGAACTGCTCTATGGATTTACCAAAAAAAATAAAAAATAAAAAGGGAAAGGGAAGGAAAGAAAAGACTATTGCTCTTTCTTAAAATAGAAAATTGAAAACCGCTTTGCAGACGTTTCTGTTAATTTTGTAAAGGTTATTCACAGGAAACAATGACTAATAAGCTTAAACCAATGCTCAACTGTAGGGTAACTTCCACAGCATCTGAGAGGTGCCGAGATGTTACGGTGAGCCGCTGCAGAGATGGATGCGAATCCCCAGGCAGCCGTAAGCTGCTCCTGCCCCTCGGAGCCAGGCAGGATGAGGCCAGGTCCATCACGGTCCTTGCCACCTTCTTTCCCTGTGGATCTCTGACAAAAACGTAAACAGCACTTTTTTTGGTGAAGTTGAGGGTATGTGTTCATGGGAGGCTGAGCTCCCCATGGACCCAGCGGCACCCGTGGCTGCAGCGAGCACAGCTTGTGTGCACGAAGGCGGATTTGGCCCATAATTTGAAAAATATCCCTTGGTTTTCCACGAGGATGTTCGCCGGTCTGGCCAGGCTCTGTTCTGAGCTTCTGGTTCCTATTATGTGCCCAAGTCATCCTCCCAGTTTTGCTGTAATGCTCCTTCTTTTTCCCCTGATGCCTTAGCCGTGGTTTTCTATTATTAAATAAGATTTTTCCCCTCTTAATTGAAGTATCAGCTCTAATAATCCAAGTAGTAAAATCTTGTCTTATGTAACTGTCTACTACATAAACTGCTTTTTGGCGTGAGGGTGAAGCAGTGCGGTGGTTCTTTAGGAAACTAAAGAGCAATTTCTGCTCTGACCTTTGGGCTGTGGCTGCGCTGTGTTTCGTTCGCTATAGGGGTGTGATAAGGGGGGTGATGTCGTTTATGAGACCAACTGATGGGGTGGGAGAAGCAGAAAAGTGTCGAGGCCAATAAACAGCTTTGTGGACTGGGCAGGGCAACTCCGGAGCCCTACAGAGCTGCATGGGAGTGGGCAGGAAAGGAGGATTTTTTATTGTCCGCAGGACACTGCTGATTTGGGGGGCGTAGAGCCCTTTTCCCCTATTTTTACTGCACCCGCCTTGCCCAGGGCTGTCAGCGCTGCTGTATGGTGGGGGTGACCTCTCCGCAGACGCGGTTATCTTTTGGGAAGGTGAATTTGGGACCGGGCGTGAAGCGTGTGGTGGCTTCACACCTCGCGGAGCAGCCTGAGATAAGCGGCTGCTCGACCCGGCCTTGGACACGGCGGGGTTCCGCCTGGCTCAGCTCAGGCAACGTGTCTGTGTCGGGGACGTCATCCTGCCAAGTGCTTTGCTTTTCATTTCTTGGTGGTGTTTTATACCCCTTGACCGCAGTCTCGGGCTGGTGGCTCCCCGTGCCCCATCCATCCCCCTGATGTTCCATCTTTCCTTCCCCGCAGGGTGACATCCAGCAGCTCCTCATCGTGGCAGACCCCCGAGCAGCCCACGACTACTGCGAGCACTACAGCCCCGACTGCGACACCGCCATCCCCGACTCCCCCCAGTCCCAGGACCCCAACCAGGATGAATACGTAAGTCCCTCGCGGGATTTGGGGATGCCTGTGGGGCAGCAGCATCCAGCTCCGTGTTGCGGTTGCAGACGCGCTGGGCTTCTTCCTCCCTTTTGCCGTCCCTGCGACTCAGCTGTAAAGGCCAAGACAGAGCTTTTTTTTTTTAGGATTCACAGGTTCTGCTCTTGGATCTCACCCTTGGGAGTTTCCCTTCCTTTCCACGCTCCTCCCATTTCCAGGGGCTGAAATGAATATTTGCTTGGAGCTCAGAAACTCGCAGGAGAGACAACCTGAGCTGAGTGTGAAATACCGACCATCCCTGGCGGGACAAATCCTGTCCAAAACAGGCACCTCTTTCTAAATTTCAATTTTTACTGCTGACCTTGTAAAAAGATTAAGCAGTTCTTCTTCAGTATTCTTTGAAACAATGGGTGTTAAAGGAGAGGGAAACGTTTTTTCCCGTGTATATCCCATTTGAATTTCATTTTGGCAGAAATGCTCCCGACTCATCCGTATGAGCTGCTGTGCTCAATATTTTTTCTACGAAGAGTTAGCCTCGGATCTTTTCTTTAAAAAAAGAAAATAAATTTAAAAAAAGAGACTGATATAGGAGACCTTTTTATTTCTGCTGCTCAATTAGAAATGTATGGGTGTGGCTGATTTCCAGACGAACATCACCTGAATTTTACACATTTTTAAGGTCTCGGGCTCAGCTGGCAGCAATGGAAGTGTCTGGCATCCTCAGCCGCTTCTCAGCATCTTGGCTGCTCTCTTGGTCTCATTTGCCGGTCCGTGCACTCTCGTGCTTTCAGCTGATCTCAGATCTGCGGGCTCCTGCCCGATCCCCGTGAAGCTGTTACACCCTCAGCCCCGCTCCACCTTAGCTTCGGGATCAAATTCAAAACCTGAGTGTTAAACGACGACACCCAACGAAGCAGGGCTGTGGGGAGCAGAGGGACGCTCGCCGGCGAGGCACGGCTGCCCACCCCGGAGAAGGGCTATAACTGCTTCATCTGGAGAAACAATAAGTAAAATAAAATAAACCTTCGGTACGGTCAAAATATGTGGTAGCAGGAAAATAAAACTCTTCTTTTGGAGCCAGCAGTTCAACAAGGGCTGGCTTGTCTTTAGGGCTGTGTTGCTCCATGTAAGAATAACTCTTCCACGCGCCAGCGTCTGCTGCCAGTGAGAGCGATGGACTGGCGAAGAAATTTGCCATGCCCGGCTCTAACCAAATGTTTTGTTTGTGTTTCATTTTGAAGAATGACTGACGCCTTGTGGAAACCGCTGAAAATATCTCGTTTTTGAAGCCCTTCTGCCCGCGGGCCGCGGGTGGATGGGGAGTCACACGAATGCTATTAGTGCAGTCGGATGAGTGAAAATAGCATCTCCCGGTTCTCAGGGCGGCTGCGTGATTCAAATGTTTTTCTTCCCCCTCCTTAGAATATCTCAGATTTGTGACCTGGGAGGTCTCAATAATCTGAGGTTAAAAAGTTAATGATTTTTTTTTTTTTACCCTGTGCTATCGTGGGCGACTGAATTGCTGTAGGCTAGATCCATCCTCTCTGATAAGGGAGAACGTGCCACAGGACTGAGAGATGATTGGGAACCTCCCCAAATCACAGCCGTTGCCAAAGCAGCCCGAGGCCGGGCTCTTAGTGAAGGTGTCACAGAAGCTGATGAACAAGGGGAAGGGAAAGATTTCAGATGGATCTGCATCACGGCGTGGCCCCGTTGACATCACATCATGTCTAAAAGAGCTGGCAGGAGCGGGCTTGGTTGCTGCCAGCTTATTTTCTGCTTCTTATCTTCTCTTTGCAGTACACCGACGGGGAGGGAGAAGGTGACACCTACTACTACGAGTACCCCTACTATGAAGATGTTGATGAAGCGGTAAAGCCCGAAGCACCCACCACCAAACCTGACACTCCCGAGGTGGCGGCTGGAGAGAGACCTGAGACCAAGCAGGTACCGACGTGGGGTCCTGGCAAAGATGCGGTTGATAAGTGGCACCTTTATAGAGGGGGACGTGGAGGACAATGCACAATTTTCTTTTCTTTTTTTTTTTTTTTTTTCTCCAATTCTGGTATTTTATTTCTGCAATAGGACTATCCTGCCCCCACGCCATCACCTGATGGAGGGGACCCCGGCAAGCAGTTGAAAGGGGATGCTACGGTGGATGACCCCCTCGTGGACGAGTACAACTACGAAACCATTAACGAAGAGTACTTCACGCCTCTCCCCTACGAAGATGTCAACTACAATGAAGAAGTAGACCCCCAGGGCGGACTCACTGAAAACGCCGTGGAAGCCGAACTCCCCACGAGTACCGTCATCACCTACAACGAGACCGATGTAATTTTAATGAATGTTTTTTCCTTTCACTGTGTTTTTTATTAAATCTGGTGTTTCGTAGCAAAGGAGATGTGATCATCCATATGGTTTGGGCAGCTGTTTGAAATCTGTAAGTGGTTTGGGCAGCTGTTGGAAGACAAAGTTTCTTGTAAAAGTAATTTCACTCCAGATATTTCAGGGTGTGGTACATAGATATTTAGAATTTGGTTAAGGATTATTCCCCTGGAAAAATCTGTTCATATTGACATCTGCATTTCCCTGTGCGAAGCGCTTGTCTGACAAAAAGAAAAATGAAGGTTGGTTTTAAAATCTAAGTAGAAGCATTTTATTTCAAAGCTATTAACATAAATCCGTAAAATGTTGATGTGATGGAGAACATGAATATTTTTCATTTTGTCGTTCCCACTGAATAGCATCTTTATGTTTTTCAGATTGTAATTTTTAAAAAATATATCAATGCTGGGACAAAACCCTTGATTTCAAACTACTGCATTCACCCGGAGAGAGCCCCTCTGTTTTGTGCACAGATCTGCTCAGAGACCAGATTAGTCCAGATCCCACAGCTGATGTTTCTGTTGGAGCGATTACATTTTTAGTTACCCACACTTTAATATGCTTCAACTCTGAAATATGTTGCACTTGAGACTCTTCTATCCTTAAGACTTGCCCGGTTCTTGCCTTTTATATTGGTGCTCAAATAGATGAACGTTGGTCTTATCCTTAGATGAGACAGAGATAAATTGTCGTGCAGCTGCAGGAAATAACTACGCTATAGGAGGCAAATTCCTCGTTATCCAGGAGCATCAGCCGGGGGAGTTGATAGCGGGATAACGTTTCCCGGGAGGTAGGATGGGACTTGGCAGAGTTTTGTGGTTCCTCCTCAAATGGAGAAGAATGAGTTAGTTATGGGGCTGTCAAAACTCAAGGCTTTCCTGGGAGGCGCTGGAGGGTGGCAAAAGAGACAGCAAAAGTTGGCCAACGTATTTGGAGTTGGACCTGGAAGCTTGAATGAAAAGGTGTTGGGGAAAGCATCGGAGCAAAGGCTGAGCGGCTGGAGCGAGGCGGGAGGGCAGCCAGCCGCCCCGAGGGCTGGTGGCACAGTGGGGAGCGAGTCCGGCCAACTGGGGATAAAAAAAACTGCGGTGGAGGAGGAGGCTGAGCCACCCAAAATGATACGCAGAGAGAAACAGAAAAGGCTCCAGCGTCTCGAGGAAGCGAGCGCCAACCTGAGGGAACCCATGGATGGGAAACTCTTCTGTTTCCTGACAAAGAGCCAGAAATCTTTGGCCAAGTTTGAACTTTCTAATAGAGAGAAATTAAAGATAGCGTCACCTTAAAAAAAAAAATTGGAAGAGGAAATAAGAGGCTCAAGGGCCACTTTAGTTGTTGGGAAAAGGAAATAGAAGAGGAGGAAAGTTCAGGTAGGGAAACACATGGCAAATCTTTCCTCTGTGGGAACTGAGCCTGCTCTCAGCGAAGCTGCTCGCGGGGAGAGCGAGCAAACCCTCCATCTCCGGCAGCTCCAAAAGAGACAGCGTTTGGCTGAGGAGGGCTGTGGGACTGCTCCTGGGGTGGGAGGTTCCTCCAGTGAGTCTTTCAGCTGATGAGCAGAGACGAAGGACACAACTTGCCCGGCTGGAGGAGCTTCCCGGGCACTGAGGCGAAGGCTAACGCAGCGGGACATCGGGAAGAGTCCCAGAAAGTGCCAGCCTGAGGGACAAATACCCCAGAGGGTCTGGATTTGAGGTTTACACCTGGGAGCGGGAGCTAAGGGCCCTGCCTGCCGCCACGAACTCCTGGGGGAACCAAATCCTTTAATCCAGCAGCAGACCAAGCGCTTTCTGGGCAATAGGGAAGTGAGGATCAGGAGCTCGTGTGGGTAATTACCGCCTAATACCTGTTATCAGAAACAGGGTTTTAGCGGGAGATAAACTGCTAAACTGGCTGGAGACGTTTATTTGCTCATAAAAAAAATATTAAAAAAAAAAATCTTGTAAGATTTTTGGCTAGTTTAGGGAAAAAAATAGTGCTCATGGTCACACGTAAGTGGCATAATTTCAACAGGCGCAAGTTTCTACCGGCAGCCGGGGAAGGCAGCGAGACCCCCACGCTGGTGCCCAGGGATGGGAGCGTGCGGAGTTGGGCTGGGACATGGGTGTCCCCCGAGATGCCGGCGGCGCCGGCCCTGGCACTGCTCGCTCTAGGACCTGGGATCAAAGGGGGTAATGTTGGTCTGGTGCAGAAGGGGCATTTTTAGCATCTCTTCATGGACCTGTTGCAAGAGCAGGATGTGGATGTGTCCGTCACTGTTCACCCGTTTATGTTATGGGAAGCCTCAAATTCCTACAATGGGAATTAAAAGGGGATTTAGTTTTACACAAGTGAAACTTCGTGGAGCCTGTGTGAGAGGTTTTGGAGGCAGACGTCATCGCGGAACTCTCCTGGGCTCGGGTTTCATTATGGCTAATAACTCTGTGATAAATGCCGGGGAAGCAATTCTGAGATTTAGGAGTCTGCAATACTCCCGTGAACAAGAGGAGCTGGGGACAGATAGATTTTGTTCATTGCCTGCTATTCATCAGGCGGTTTGCTTTATACCAGGGCTCCATATCTGCATTGCTTCTCAGAAGGGAAGACTGAAAGGCGATTTAAATGAAGCTGTTATCAGCAAAGGAGAGTCACGGTATTTTGCACACTGATTTTTGGACCTCCTCTTTTCTTTGTGGACTGTTTTCTGATTCAGGTTGTCTAACAGCATTTTTAAGGAGATTATTTTTAGGCTTTTGCTTTGGTTTTTCTCCAAAGCACCTGCAAAATCTCAGCACGGAGAACTTTCCTCCTTCTCTGCCCAGTTATTCAAAATACCATCTTTCCATGCAGATTGACTCGGGGACCTTAATCAAAATATCAAACCAGATATTTTTGACGTTCATTTCAAGAAATGCAATTTGAAAAAAAGGTTGCTATGTTATCCCTAAAAGCTTTATAGCAAGATAAACGGGTTTCAAGGTTTCAGAGTGCAAACCTAGATAAAAGACGTCGAACAGGATAAAAGAGGTTTGTGGTAGCGCTACATCCATTTGAACAGTAGAAAGGAAAAATAATGCTAACCTTCCCAAGCTTTCTAATTAATTGCCAAACTATAATTTCTGCAAAGACCAGTGGGTATTTGCAGAGGTAAAAGAAGATGGGGTGGCAGAGCAATGATTGCCTTAGTGCTAGGCTTATTCTTAATTTAAAACCTCTGGAATTTAGCTGCAGATGCTCATGCTTATGAGTTCTGGACAGTTTTGGCACAGAAACAAGGTCTGGAAGTGGTGATGGCATTTAAGTGATTTTGAATTCACAGTAGTGAGGAGATAATTTCTCTGGGGAGCACTGGAAATAATTCAATTTATGGACCATTTTGATCATTACCTGGACGGGAAAGAAACAAACAAAAAATATCAGCAGCACATGTTCTTCTTCACAGCGCTGCTCAGCGTAAAGGATGCCAAGGGGCGGTTGCCTGCCAGGCTGCAGAGAGCACCGAGCTATGGAGGGAAGCGAGGAAATTCTGATGCTTGTTTAGATGTCCTTGCTCGTGGTCCTTAACATCTGCCGCTGCAAGGATTCAGACAGGATTCGGGGATTAATGGATCGGATTTGTAAAAAATTCTGCTGCTGCTGCTTTTCGGACAAGCACAATCGCCGCTTGGATCCCAGACTAAACAAACAGGAGGTTTTTGTAGAAGCAAACTTGGATTTTTCCACATTTCCTCCTGTAATCCGATACTCATAATGACACATTGCGGTTTTGATGTGCATTTTAAATATGCGACTGGATGTGTGAATATTTATGCTTAATAGTCCAAAATTGAGGCTGTGAGAGATGAGTAGGGCTTGGAGTTTGAAACTTCCATTCCCTCTTTTTTAGGCCTTTAGAGTTTGTGGGATCCTCCCAACAGGAGCTGTTGCTTTGTGCTGTGTTTTGTTTTCCTCGCTCAAACTTTTACACTCACAGTGTTATTTCGGGATTCAACAGAGAAATCCCGGGCAAAGCCAGGGTGTACGCTTTGGCATAAAGATCCTCCCATCCTTCTTGCCTGCTACTGGAAAAGACCTTTGGCGGTCACTGGAGACCTTAAAATTCCAGAATTTAACTTTTCTTGTGCTTTTTATTTGCAACTATTATTATAAAGCATCCTTACTTTGCAAAAAACACAGTTTTCCCCTTAGATCCCCAGCGTGCGCAGCCCAGAGAGATTTGCAGCCTGACATGTTGCTGCTCTTTTGCTTCCAGGCTGCTCAAGGAGGAGACGACCTGGATAAAGATTTCACCGAGGAAACAATAAAAGAATATGATGGGAATTATTATGATAACTATTACGACCGAACAGTCTCTCCCGATATCGGCCCCGGCATGCCTGCTAACCAGGACACCATCTACGAAGGGGTAAGAGAGTTAATTTTCCGTCGAGGGTAAGCCTCGTTCAAGACATTTGTCTTCTCATAATTTATAGCGTAGAGATGAGCAACGCAAAACCCAGCAAGAGCATCTCGCTTGGATTCACCCACCTGCAACGCGTGTGTTTCGCACAAGGCGAGGAGGAGGTGTCCCGTTGCTCTTCCACACGAACATCAGCCGTCCTTCAGTTGTAGAAGTTGTCCCGGGATCTCCGGTTCCTGCCCGGAGTGGTGATGCTGGTGCAGGTGATGTCCTCTGACTGTCTGGCTTTGTGTTTCCCTTGTGTGCTACAGATCGGTGGCCCCCGGGGCGAGAAAGGACAGAAGGGGGAACCTGCGATTATTGAGCCGGTAAGGACCACCTGGGGTTCTGGTGTTCTTTTTATTTCCCAAGGAAAAAAGTCCACGGGATATGGTTGGTACGGCTTGGTGCTCTCAGTGGTACAGCTGGGAGGAAACTTTCCCATGGAAGAATTACTTGGTTCATTGAAAAGCTTTTCATATAAAATACCATAATTATTATTTATTTTTTTTTAAACTTCAAGAGGCAGCCTGAGTTATGAAGGAAGAGCAAAATTTCCCACGAAATCTCTCATTTGCCGAGGCCTTTTAGAACTGAAGCGTTGGGCAGAGGGTACGTCTCGCCCCGCGGGGGGTTTTGAGCTGCCCCCGGCTCGGCAGCAAACCCGCTCCCCCGAGCGCCCGTGGCCGGTGGCCAGGTCATATCCTGACCTGACCTTGCAGCTTGGGGCCGGCTTTAATTGTGCAACTAATGGGTTCATCTCTGTGGAAATAAAAAGGTTCTCCCTGCACACAGCTGCGGGAGAGGAGAAGTTTGCTCCTACGCCTGCTCCGGGGTCCCACCAGCTTTCCACTTTGAGAGAATCCCCGTGTCATCCCGGGAATGCAACCCAACGCTCTCTTTCTTTTATGATTCCGCCCCGGCCTGTTTCTGCGATTCTTTTTCTTTCTAAAGAATGGTTATAAACCACCTGTGCCCTTTGCAGTCTGCAAAAAATAACGTGGGTGCCCAACGGAGCAGCCCCATAGGTGAGGACGGAGCTTCTCCCTACGGTGGGGACGGGTGGCGTTCGCTCAGAGGTGCCCGTTGAGCAGAGCAAGAGGCTGTTGGTTGACGGCCGTGTGTCTGTCCCTCGCCGCGTGTCAGGATGCCGAGGTACCCCCCATGCCTGCTCCTCCCCCGGGGGTCGCAAAAGGGACTTCAGATCCTTGGAACCCCCTCCCCCCGAGCCTCGTCCCCGAAGGGCGCCGGGCGCACGCTCGCTGCACACCAGCAACTCAATTAACCTAATTTTCCTTGGCAGAGGGCCAGCGCGGCGCCCGGCCTCGCGGCAGCGCTTCCCATCACTCGGAGGCCATTATTTTTCTTTTTTAAATTCTTCTTCCCTTTCCTTCTTTGCCTGTCCCTTCTGCAGATAGCGAGGGGTGAGGTGGGGGGGTGGGGGCGCGAGAAGCTAGGGGGGGGGCAGCAGCAGGACTTGAAAAGCCCGAATTAAGTGCCTTTATAAACATATTTCCGACCGTGCCTTCCTTCTCTTCCTTTCTGGGTCTCGCTCTCAGCCCTCAAACAAAAGGAGGAGCGAGTGGTTCGCTTGTGGGAGGTGTGGGAAGGGTGGGGGGCAGCCGAACCCCAGGAAGACGCTGGCAGAAACCCAACCTGCCCTGTCCAGAACCGATTGGAAATGCTACAAAAGCGAACCAAACAGTTAAGTTTAATCATCCAGAAAGAATTTGGCCGCCTTCGCTATTTCAAAACACTGGAGCATGTATAGCTTTTGCCAGAAAGTAAACAAGACCAAATGCCGCCTTTTCCCTCTCCGTGCGGTTCCTCTTCGGCAGAGAGAAATTCAGATTCGCTGCGCTCTTTAGCTCCTTTTTTTTTTCTTTTTTCTCTTTTTTGATGGGAGCTGCAGCGGAAGGGGGGAATAAAAACCGAACGCAGAAATTGGATTCTGCTGGATTTTCTCCCCTTTTCGTTGGAAGCGCCCGTCCTTCAATCCTTGCTCTGTGCTGACGCTCGCTGGAGGCAGCGGGGCAGCACAGGCGCGGGGCGAGGAGGGACGCAGCCGGGGATGGATGGGACCCCCCATCCCACCTCCGGGGACACCGGGCTTCCTTTGCCTCCTCAAATCCCTCCATCCTTCCAAGGAGGGACCCCGGTGGTCCCACCTGCCTTCAGGGAGGGTTTGAGCAGCCTTTGCATAGCACCTCTGTGCGTTGCAGCCACCTTTGGGACTGTTTTGGGGTTATTAGCTTCACTTTTGGGTAGCACCCGGGTGTTGATTGAGTGGAAGCAACTCCCTGTTTTCCCCTGGGACAGTCCCAAATCCATGGTTTGCTTGCTGACCCCCAAGGCGATCGCCCTTGGTGGCATCCCCCCCGCCGGTCCTGGTCCCCAAACCCTCCCACGTTTCCCTCGCTCCTGTTGACGGGCAGTCATATAAACAGTGGAGGTTTCTTGCCGAGGAGAATCTCCAGATGTCCCTAAAGCTAGAGCTCAACATAAACCAACAGATAAATATGGGAAGATGCCAAGGATGTTTGCATCGCAAATTGGCTAATTAGCCCAGACTCTTCCCCCATGCGGAGGAGCATCTCTGGGCTCTGCAGCCGGCCATGAGAAGCAGAGCCTCAGCGCTCTGCATGCTTGGACATCCAGCAGCTGGTGGCATCCAGCAGCCCCCAAAAGTCCTGGGGGAGACGTATGTGGACCGCTGCTCTCTGCACCAGCCCAGAGACAGTTATCAGTTTCTGTTTTGGAACCTTCCACACCAAAACGTGCCATCGTTGGTCTCAGCAGGGATGGACCTTGGGGTGTCCATATGGAGAAAGGTTTGCTGGGATCTCTGGGGTTTCCTGTACAACGTCCGCATTACGTGTCTGAAAAGGAGCTCAGTGGATGTCATTCTCACAGGACACCTTCTCCATCAGCACAGCTCACCTCTTCTTGGTAGCCTCCGACAGCAAATAGCTCATACCTAGCGCAGGTTGGAGGAACGTTGTGTAGGGTTCACCCCTAATTCCCACCCAGAAGAGAGCGGCATCTCCGTGGCAGAAAGGGAAATTGCTGTCAAAATGGGCACGAGGCAAAGTCCATGACCTAATTCTTTACTGGTGAAGAACGACTGCACGGGCGCTTCTGTGATGACAGCAGCAGAAAATTTCCCTTAACACATCCAAATGAAGCGGAAACCAGATTTTAAACGAGGTGGTAATGAGTAGTATGGACACTGGGAAAGACAGAAAATAGTGCGGGCCATGTATTAGTGGTGCAGAAACCCACATCCCACTAATGAAGCAGGGGATGGTTCACGGCACCGTGTTTTACCTTGTTTTTTGCTCATCTGGGGCTTAGAAACTGTGGCTTTGGGGGCCGGAATGCCTGGATTTTCCTCTAGACATTTCAGATTCGTTCAGCTCAGCCCTGTCTGCCGTAGTGGCTGCTGTGGGGTCAGCTGAGGCTTTTGGCACCGGAGCCTGATGAGCCCAGGAGACCGGCCAAGGGTGACCCAAGACCAGTCCCTGCACTTGCTTCCTCCGGGCTTCTCCCATATGAGCTGACTGCTAATCTACAGATTTTTACAGGCTGATTTCATCCCATAGGAGAAATGTCCCTGTTTGCTACAGCTGGCAAGTGCTGGGACTGCTTTGGCTCGACCTGGGTGCTGCTGGGGGCACGGGCACCGGTCCGGAGATAAAAGGGCAGTGCTGGCTGTGGGGCTCGTCCCAACAGGTTGTCCTGATGCCTTCTGGAAAGCATTTGCAGGTTTATTGGGAGGTTTCTTTCCCGCTTCTTACATACCCATGAGGAGGGGAAAAAAAAAAAAAAAGCTCAATTCTACTGAGTACATGATAGACCTGATTTAAAGTTATGACAAAATATTTAGATTAAAAGGAATGGAATAACATTATTCTACCATTTTGCCCACACAGTGATTTCCTAGGTACACAGAGTAAATCACAGCATGCAGTCTGCTGGGAAAGTAATTTTAAAAAAACCTTGCAATTTGATTATTAATTTTTTTTTTTTTTTTAAAGCTGCTTGGATCTAAAAACAGCTTCTTCCCGAAGAGGAGCTCTTCTGCTCCAGCATCCTCCAGGCTGGCCGTGCCCCAGGGTTTGCCCTTTGCCTGGCCATAAGCTAAGGCAGCGGGGTTGTGGTCAGGAGGGTGACCCTGTGCTGGGGGAAAGGGTGGGTTTGCCATGCCCTGCGTGATTCAAATAGACGGTATTTGGCTTTTCAGTGCCCAGACCTAGCAGCAAGACCTGAAATACTTAAGAACAGATAAAGCATTGGGCTTTCCAGCCCTGTAGTCAAAGTGGCTTTGAGGATGTGCCTTGTTAATCACTTTTTTTTTTTATTATTTCCTCTCCTTTTAGGGCATGCTGGTGGAAGGTCCACCCGGTCCCGAAGGCCCAGCAGTAAGTGTCGCTTTGTCTACACCTTGCACGCAGGGATGCGCGCGGCCCCGGGTGCGGGATGCACGTGGCGGGCTCAGCACACAGCTGCTCCCGGGCTCTATTGCTTCCATATGCCACCCATGTGTACGGAGCGCTTCGGGGTCGATTCTCTGGTGCAAAAATAAACAGAAAGCTCTAACTCTTTTCCTGCTCGTTGTACAAATATGTTACAAATAACACATTTTCCTTTAGTGGCTTATGTTTTTTCCTGTCTTTTCTATGCTAGGGCCTTCCAGGACCTCCAGGACCAACTGGACCTGTGGGCTTAATGGGTGACCCTGGGGAGAGAGTGAGTACCCATGTTTTCCTCCTCTTTGGCTGAAGCCTTGGGTTGTTTTGTGTGTGAGAAGTGGGACTGTGGTGCATCACTGGAGCCCTAAAATACTTCTTATCCTGTAATAGCAATCTCCTCTGACTCAGCCCTCAAAAGAGCTTGTGGTAGGGTACGAGGCAGACCTTCACATCCAGTGGCAAAGGGTTGGGGAACAGCCACACTAGTCAGATGCGTTAAGCAACTTTCTCCAGGTTAAAACCAAGAATAAGTGGAACAAATCCTCTGCTCTCTGTTTGCACCCTTTGGTATGCAGCTGCTTGTTCCGATGCGGGAACTGGGCTGGGGCATGGGGAAAAGAGGGTAAGCACACACACAAAATAGCTGTTAGCACAGTAAAATGAAGTTCAACGGCGTCCTTGTTCCAGCTGGTGTTGAGTCCCTACAGGGTTTGGTTTTGTCTGGGTCCAGGATGGTCCCAGGGCCACACCAGCACCCTGCTGAGGGTCTTCCCTTACGCTGGTTTTGTGTCCCAGACTGCTCCCGGTGGGAAGGCGGCTCTTGTGCAGCACCTCGCCTCTTCTGTAGGTGGATTACTGGTCCCTACCAGCGAGCACTGGAGACTGATTTGTGTGCTTTAGCAATGCAGTAACTTTGGTTTTGCATGTTTGGTTTTGATGTTACTTTAAATCAGTTTTGTCCCCGGCAGCCGCTGCTTTGTGAATTGCTGCCCGCAGGAGCCTTCAGCTTTGGGGTGTCTCATCAAAGGCAGCTGCTCCTAAGCACTTTTGCGGACTCTGACCCCAAATCCCATAGTTTAGCACCACGCTTTGGTCAGAATTGCGTATTTATCCGTTATTGCTGAATCCTCACCTGGGATCAGGAATGACGAGTGTATTGGGAGATGCCGAACTGGAGCCTGGGGTCGGTAAGTGGTGCACAAGCATCATTCGAGCAGCAGTCTGTCTGCTTGGCAATGCCGAAAATTAAACCTCACTCTTGTCGCTTCCTTAGATGAGTCTCTGAAATGACTCTCGTACCAATACACTCCTCATTTGCGCTTGTTCACCCACAGTTCAAGCCAGTTCCCCCCCACCTCTGGCAGAGGCAGCCAGGCAAGCAGGTACCGGTGTGCAGCTACCGGGGCAGAGGGGACCGGGCTGCACGCTGCTCCCAGCCCTGTGCCCAGCGGGAATTTTGGCCTGACATCCAGTGGAAGGTTCACCACAGCACAGACGGGCTCTGGCTTTGCACAGAGGCTGAGGTGGGACCAGCCTCTGCTGCCAAAGCAAGGCATGAGCATGATGGGGACAGGTTTCACAAAGGAGCGATGAAAAATAATGAAAGGCTTGGAAAGTGACTGTTTCTAATTCTGATGTGTACTATAGAAGATTATGCTTAGATTTATCCCACATAAATTAAGGAATTTGACTGAAGGGCATTACTCAGGTGACTAGTCCCTCCTGACTCCACAGTCAGTGAGTGAATTCATTGATTTCAGCAGGTTTGCGTGAGCAAAATAAATGGAGCTTGGAGCTTGACACCATTTCGGTGCCTTTGGTGCATCTTGACGTTAAGTGCACTCAAATATGCTTTCAAAATAGCTTCTAGTGTAGTGGTGCTTCATTTGGGGAGGCAGGGCTCCCAGCAGCCCTAACGCCAGCCTCCACATGTGGCTCGTTGTGACCTGAGGTGTCCCTATGGTTCTGTTAGCAGAAAAGGGCAAAAAAAGGTGCCTTACAGATGGGTTTCTGAAGGCAGGCTCGGTTGGAGGTCTGTTTTTCCAGTGTTTCTCCTGGAAAGCGCAGGAGGGAGGAGGAGAGTGGCAGTGACAGAGATGACAGGAGATGCGCCCGAACACACAACATCGCGCTGCTGTCGGTGCTGTCACCCAGCGAATGCAAAACACCTTTCCAAGGAAGGGAGCGCTTATCAGCAAACGCTTCCCTGATCTGCGCGCTGAGGTCCTCAGCACGTTTTTCTGGCAGATAAGGCAGCCTGCTGCCCACGGCGGGTTCGCACGCGCCGCAGCATCCTCCGCCGGTCCAGCAGTTGGTTTCCAGATGGGGAACGGCATCCCGTTTGCCTCCTGGGTGCCTGGGAAGGATGAGCTGGGGTGACCCAGGTTCTCTGCGTTTGTAGAGCTTCACCATCTCCTGGCAGATCTTGGTTGAATTCTGCCCAGACAAGGTGGGAAAAGCCGATGACTGGTTTCAAATGCGAAGGTCTGGACAGATAAGGGGCATTGTGCTGTTCTGATGTGTGTCTTAGCACAGCTACTTGCTGCGACTGCTGGTAAGGAGTTGTGTTGTGGCCTTGCTTATCTCTCTTTTTTAAAACAAAACAAACCAAACAACTTCCTTTTTTGTCTTAATTGAGTAACCTAAGACCCAGAAAGAGTAGGAGGGAGAATTCGCTCCATTGCAGAGGGTCAGAACAAGATCTCGGCGCTACCAAGGATCTCGCGTTATCCCCGTTTTTAATGCTGGAGCGATGCCAGTGGTTTGCCGTGGCCTCCCCTACGGTTGCCATCAGGTGTATATCAAACCCTCTGGTTTTCATTTCTTCTTACTCCCGGCCTGGCTGTGGGCACGGCAACACCAGCTGAGGCACCTCTGGAAGTGACCAAGCATAGTTATACGCTGGGACGCAGGAAGGGATGTATCAAAATATGAAAACACCAATTAGACAGAAAGACTGAATATTTGTCCCTAAGTCCCTGCAGGCCCGGCTCTCTGCACGGGTTGAGTAGAGACCAATCCACTATGCCTTAACTTGCAGAGGCCTTTTTGTAAATTGGTGTTTACCTCTCCCTTCAGCTTTTAAAATCCAGCTGTGTTCCCCTTTCTGTCCTGTGTACCCTCGAGCTGTTGCCCTTCCCTGCCATTCTTCTCCCACCCATCGAGGTGGTTCTCCATCCCACCTGCTCGTCAGCAAAAAGCAAGAGATGGGAAACTCCCCCTTAGCAGTTTGGTGCTCTTCCAAATTTCCGTCCCCTGGGGTGGGTTTGGGACCCCCCGGGGCCTGGCTGCCTTCCCCAGCACGGGCAGGAGGGGTTGGCTTCCCAGCTGTCCTACCTGCTGGAGGACAAAGCAACCAGCTGGCTCCAGACCTTCATCATTCACCTCCCAGCCCGATGACACGCGCGTTGCAAAATACAACCGCTGAAAGCAATAAAATCATTGCTGGCCTGCACTGGGAAGTGTCTGCTGTGGTTTTAAGGTGTACTTGAGGAGATTACTCAGGTGTTGGGGCATTCTTGTCACAGTGACCCTAACCTGGGCCCTGTTTTTTTTGTTGGTTTTGTGGGTTTTGTTTTAATTAAGGGTCTTTGTTGCCTTCATGGTCCCCGGGGACTTGGCTGGAGTCTGCTGGCCGCTGCGCTCCCACATCCCCCCTGGAGCATCGCTGTAAAGCCCCCCACCTCATTTACACTCCTGGTGTATTTATTGTTTTTTGATGGAACAGTAATAACGTTTCTTGTGGTTGTGACATGATTGAGAACGAGAAGCCCTGACTGTGCTCCATCGATCAGTGCCTGCAAGCTCAGAAAGTCAATACGCAGCTGCAGGCTCAGCCCATGGCCGGGAGCCAGGGCCACCGCTCAGAGAGTCTTAACCCTTGAGACACCACGGTCCTGGTTCCTCCTGCACTACTCCAGCAGAAGGACCAAGGGAGGGCTCTGCATCCTTGGGTGTCGGACTTCATAGAGAATGGACAAGCTGGGTAAGGTCCCAGTAGTGGTTTTCATCTTGCAGCAATGTAGGGTTAGTCGAAAGAGCTGTGTGGCTTCATCAGGCTCTTGGTGGGTCTTCATCCTGCACGGGTCCTACGTGTTGCCCAGCTTCTCTTCTTCTCCCCTTGATGTGCTACTTCTGTTCCAAAGAATTCCATTCCCTGGCAGGATGGATGCTGACCCTGGTGACGAGGGAGTCTGTGTTTCTGCCGTCGGTCCGGGCAGACGCAGATGTTTGCTGGCCGAGCTCCTCTTGAACGGCCGTGCAAAGCCAATCCGCAGCAGACACGCTGTCCCCGATGCTGCTGCTCCACACCCTGAAATGAAAAGCATCATTTGCATTCTAGCACAGACGGCACATCCTGCTTTTCTGAGTGTCCGGAACAGACTGTAATACAACATATTGTGCATAGAGAAGTGATGAACTTGCAGAGCCAGGAACTGCGACTGTATTAAAATACTCCTTTTCAATTAGAGCAGCTCCTCTTTTAATTTGTTTATTATTAACCCTGCTCATAGCTCATGAATTTACATGACACTTATATGTGTACAGTGAGGAACATTTCCCATGCCTGCATCTGATCGAAAGACTTTTTATTTGCAATCAAGGCAGGTGCACCGAATAAATATACCAACAATATTCAGCTATGTTAATATTGGCCAACACTCATTTAGCTCTGTTTTATTCATCATGTCAGTTTGTTCATTTATTTTACAACGCGCAGCAGAGCTTGCGTCACCGGCCAAGCTGCAGAGCAGCCTGGTGGTGGGAGGTTTCAGAGGAGTCGTCTCGGGGGGGAGGCTGGTTTAGGATGACTTCGGCAGGTTTCTTTTCAGTGGGAAGAAAGGAAATACGGCACTTAGGAGAGCAGAGAGCTATTTCATGGGGGACTCCCGACTGGAATGAAGAAAGAGGGGAAAATGTGCTCCTTGGAATGAGATGAGCTGCAGCATTAGAGCAAACTGCGGCTCTGTCACCGTCCCGGCAGTGTATTTGGAAATTTGGGGTGTGTGGGTGCTCCGGGCTCGGTCGGCACGCCGCTGGGGGAAGGCTGGTCACAAAGCAATAGCTGTATCTTCCGAGACCAGACAGTCATTGCATCCCAAAGGACTTATTGCCCCTGCGGATGGTTTGGCACCTCAGAAGTATAATAGGATCCCTGAAGTCCTTATGGGGGTTCCGAAAGGCTTAACACCTTCAGGGTGCCCTTTTTTCCATCAGATGGCAGGCACTGCCTTACCTATAAGACCCCAAATACTGCGAGAAAGATCTTCCGTTGCCTAATATTCTGACCAGGGCTGAAAATGGCAGAAAAATAATCCTTGAGAGAGATACTTAAAGCAAATTTTGAGGCTCAATACTGTGGGCTGCTGGGCACCACTCCGTCTGCTCCGCGCGCAGCCCGAGCACTAACACACCGAGGTTTCAGTTTAAGTATTCCCTTGAAATATTGCATTAGTGTTTGCACTCAGCGTGGCGTTTTAGAGCACTGCACCAAATGAAAGTTGAAGTCCCCCTCCCTGCCGGCTGTATATCAGCGAATCTCTATTTACATAATGAGAGTGACACAGATTTACACCAGCTGAGAGTCTGGCACGCTGCATTCCTTAAAGGCATTCATGAATTTAAATTTACAAAGTGCTTTATGGGTTTGATTTTCCTCTGCTCCATTCCCCCCCCACCCCCCACTGCTCCACCCCACAAGGAAAAGACCTCACACACCCAACCTAAAACAAAAAGAGGCGTTTATGTATAAAAAACTTTGCATCAACGTTTGTCAGGCAGAGTACATGCAGAGAGATAAACAAGCTCATTCCTGATCCATCAGATGCAGGACCGGAGTTAAAGAAGAGAGAGAGGGAAGAAAGTTTATTATATAAAATGAGCCTGGCCTAAATTATTTATTGTGCTTCTGCTCCAACAGATGGGACTGCCCTCTGCACCTCGTCAGCGGAGTCAGGGACTCCGGTGTCAGCCAGACTAAGTAAACAACAGGAATGTAACATCATGAGCTTGTCTTGAAAAATGGATGGGCTGCTGTGTTATGCGGTCTCCCTTCGGTGCTGAGGGAGCTGCTGGGTTTTGGGTTTGTGGTTTTTTGTGGATTTTTTTTTTTTTTTCTTTTTTGCTGCTAAATCAGTGGCTGCAGGGCTGTCTGCTGCAGCGCAGGGAGCGGCGTTGTTATTCCGGGCCGGTTGCGGTGCAGACCTTGGCTGCAGCGCTGCTCTGCCCTGTAATTGTGGTGCAGGTCCAGCCGCAGCCCGGCCGGAGCGATGCGCGGGCTGGGGCAGGGTGGAGTAACGGCAGCTCCTCACCCCCACCCCGGTGCTGGGCTCTAATTTAGCGCTTGAAACTTTGGCTTGAATGTTTTGGGTTCCTTTTTAAGAGGGAGGTCTGTAGTTCCCTGGATCCTCTTTCCAGCCCTTCTTGTAGATGGGCGTCACATCTGATAATCTCCAGTCCATTGGGACCTCCCCGGTCAGCCAGGACTGCTGATAAATTATGAAGAGTGGTCTAGTGAGCACTTTTAAAAAATGTTCTGATTTTTAGGGACTTCATAATGTATTTCTCTTTTGCTCCTCCCTTTCCCACATTTATCCACCTCCTTTTGCCTTGCGTGGTGAATGCGTGACCTTCTGGCATGAGGTCTGGCTCTTCTGTGTCCCTGCAGCACGTTCATACACATCTGTGCTTTGTGGCAGGGTTTTATTTTTACTTTTATTTGGTGTCTGCATGGGTTGGAAGGCATCAGGCAGGTTGAAGAGAGTGAGAACTAACATAGATGTTACAGAACTTGAAAGCTGGAGAGGGACTTTTTCCAAGGGCATGTAGTGATAGGACGAGGGGTAATAGCTTCAAACTGGAAGAAGGGAGATTTAGATGAGATATCAGGAAGAAATTGTTCCCTGTGCGGGCGGTGAGCCCCTGGGGCAGGTTGCCCTGAGAAGCTGTGGCTGCCCCATCCCTGGAGGTGTTCAAGGCCAGGTTGGACGGGGCTTGGAGTAACCTGGGCTGGGGGGAGGTGTCCCTGCCCAGGGCAGGGGGTTGGCACTGGGTGATCTTTAGTGTGCCTTCCAACCTAAACCATTCTATGTTTGTTGCTTGCCCTTCCAAGAGCTTTGGATTTCCACAAATGGCTTTATTATTAGTGTTTACTAAAGAGGGCGGTGTCCAAGTCCTCAGGCTGGAGCAGTTGGGCAGGCAGTCCTGTCCGTCTTGCCATGAAATGAGCACCAGGGCTCCTCTTGGCCTCACTGGGACGTGATCAAGTCACTTTTGCCTTCGGCTCCTTAAGCTGGTGTGAAAATTGCAATTAGGCATGCACATTGAGTAGTTGGATGTCATCTTCATTTGCAAGTAGGATTGCCGGATGGATGTGCAAATTTGGGTTAACTCAAACTTTTTGCCAAGGGGGAATACAAATAATCTATGGGCTGTCTTAGGGAAATTGGCTATATTTGATTATTTATAGCTTCATCAATAGATCTTTTACTGCGTACTCGTTTCTTTAGTACAAGTTAAAGATACTGAACTGATGTTAATCAGCACAGCTCCATTGAGATCCTCAGAGTTCTACTGATTTACAGCTGCTGACAGGACCACTCCATTGTAGATGGAAGTAGCCTCATAGGACTAAAAGAAAAAGAGAGCAGAGAGAAAAATTGAATGACCCAGATGACTGAACATGTATGGAAATTTATATCTCTTTCCACATTTCTATCTCACTGACCTGAGTTATGAATTTTCATATACTTTTTTAATAGGTTTTAACAGACCCAACTAAACATTGATTCCATTAATTTGGAACGTTGCAGAGACTTTTATTGCTCACTCGAAAATTGCACATGGCAGACCCTGGAAATATGGGGGCCAGGCTGTTAGAAGAGGGAATTACTGAGAAAAATCATGTGCACTTATAGATGCGTTTCCACAACATTTGCCATAGCGTTGGGATGCCCACATGCTCAGTGCCTGTCTGTCAGGATAGGGAGCCTTTTGTATCGTGACATATGCCTTTCCAGCCACAACTACTTACGTATGGATGTGACTAAAATGATGGTATAGAAGTTTATTTCTTCTTCTTACAGGGACCACCTGGTCGCCCAGGTCTTCCAGGAGCAGATGGTTTACCAGGGCCACCAGGGACAATGCTTATGTTGCCTGTAAGTACAAGCGTAACTGAAAAAGCATTGAAATGAGTGGGGCTTCTTGGCTTTGCTACTGCTTAGTGCCTGTTCTTCCAGAAGTGTCTCATGTCTTTTACACCAAGGACACGTTTTTCTTGGTATAAAAGGTGGATCCGGATGATCCCCCTTATAAATTTACTTTTTGCAAAGCAACTTCTTCGCTGGCCAAAAGCACTGGGCAGGTAGGTTAAAATTTCCAGAAGTGTTGAATAAACATAAGTGTTTCTGACTGGAAATGGTGTTGGAGAGTGAAAGTCATGAAGAAGCAACTGAAGACACCTCCAAGGGTCCAATTTCCAGGCAGAACCCTCCCTCCTACAGTGACGAACCTCTAACAGCTCTTCAAAGCAGGTGCCAAAGTTGTAAGCACCTGATTGAACCGGTCTCTTTTGATGACGAGTGATTAATTTCCATTGGGTTTTTTTTTCTCCTACATGAAGCTAGCAAGCACCGAGTCAGCCTTCTGGGTCCTGGGATGCTAAAGGAATGGTTATATTTTGTGTCTGCTTTGATGTGAGAAAACCCTAAGGAAAGCAGCTGCTGAAAATAAGTGGTTAGGTACCAAAGGGAAAGAGCCTTTAGTGAAAAACCGCAGCACTCTTGTACGGGCTCCAAATGGTAGGGTGATACTTCTGTAGGTTCCTGGCGGGGTGCCTAGGACAGCCTGGGCCAAGTGCTCTACACGGAGCTGAGCTGGCCATCACAATACATTTGTTGGCCCCTACGGTACCCAGCCTTAGGCCTATAAATTGCATCGCTTTGAATCTGCTTGCCAAGTTCACGTGGTCACATACCTAGCACCAACCAAGCGAAACGCGGAGGTGAAAAGGAGGTGAAAGAGACGTCCAAGTAGGTTCTGCAGCCTGGAGAGTCCTCCTCGCAAAACCCCAAACACACGTGCAATTAAAGCAAGAAAAGGGTGTGTGTCCTGGAAAGCGGGTTGGTAGCTGTTGGGGGTGGAAGAGGCAGAAGAAAACATTAAACTCCTTCCCTTTCAACTTTGGGAAAATAAAACATCAATGCTTGGGTTTTTCTAAATCCTTTGTGTGCTGAAGGATCCTGGCTTGAACAACAGGCCAAACTCTGTTCTTTGAAGCACACTGCCACACTTGAGAAACGCAGCCGTTGTCCCAGGGCAAACAGGCAGCTGCCGCCAAATAACCTGATGCAACCCCATCTCCGGGGGTCTCCTGGCCACCAGCATCCGCATGGGGAATATCAGCCCTGTGAGAACTTTGCATTTAGTTTTGAATGGTGGCGTGTGAGGTCCTTACTGTTCAGAGCCCACAGTCCCTCTCATTGTGCGCTACTTTGAGCTGGCAGAATTTGCTGTGCGGGTACGGACATGGGAAACGGTCGGTTTGTGCCCATGAGCTGGGTGACCCGAGAGTGCGATGGTCAATAGGGTGGTCTGAAAAGACAGTGACGGGGTTGGGTCAGTCATGCTGAACAGAGTTGTTTAGGAGTCAGGCTAGCGGGAGGGTGGAGGGACCGCAACCCTGTGACCTGCTTTCTCCATCTTGTTCCCATCAGTTCCGCTTTAGTGGAGGAGGAGATGCTGGCTCTAAAGGACCTCTCGTTTCAGCCCAGGAGGCCCAAGCCCAAGCCATCCTGCAACAGGCCAGGGTAAGTGAAGGGCGGTGGGGACGTCTCTCTCAGCAGGTGCCTGAGGAAGCGGACAAGGACCAGAATAAATGTGTCAGAGGAGACGTCTTCACAGTTGCACCATCCACGGTGCTGGTGGTGGTAACAGCCTCTCATCTGAGATGGAATTGCTTGTGTGGCTTGAGGAGATGACATCTGGATGACTTGGCCTTTTACTAATGGCCAGCAATAGCCCAGGCCCCAGAACCACGGCTTTAAATTGCTTCCAGGCCTCAGACCGGGCCTTCTGCTGGTGCTGGTGGACATAGACCTGCTGGCTGCAGTCGTGCTTGCTGTTTATGCTGATGGTTTTGAGAGTCTATATGAACAGTTGTGGTATGTGCTGGAGGGAGTTTCTTTCTTTCTTTTGTTTGTTTTTTTGGGGGATTTGCTTGTTTGTTTTGGTTTTGTTTTTTTTCCCCAGTAAATCATAACAATTAAATGTACGTCACAGAGGTAAGCTGTTCCCAGCTCTGCAAATCTCAACAGGCAGACTGCAATTTTCCTTAATGTATTTATTTGGAAATACATGATGACTATCCATACGACCTTTTTTTCTTCAGATAACCGTATTGATTGATGATCAAATAATCCCTGGCAGTGTTTATTACGTGAAACACGATTGGCCGTGCGTGTTCCCCGTACAACTCCTGTTCTCTGACTCGATGAGTACCTTAGTGTATAACGCTTCATACTCATCTGTTCAAAAACCCCTTTAATTTCTATCCAGCACAGCTTTGAAAATTTCTCCCATGAGTGCTTGCGTGCAGTTACATGTGATCGTTGACATGTTAAAAGCAGAGATGCAGAAGGCACAATTGCAGCAGAAGGACCGCGTGGGGACCCCACGGGTGCCCTCCTGCTGTGTTTGCCCCGATCTTGCCCGGGAGGGACCGAGTTCTGGCTGTAAGCACACCCTTGCAGTAGAGGGGAAAATATAAGATAGTTTAGGGAGGCAATTCGCAAAGGGACACGGCTTTGGGAGCGTTGCTCCTCTCCCTGCCAAATGCCGTCACCCAGGGCCAGAGCTCAGGTGTGCCCCTCAGGTCTGAAGCCCACATCTGTCTGCAGCTGGAGTGTGTGGCTGGGGTGTAGCCAGTCTGTTATTCAGAGCTGTTGGGGGATGCTTTCGCACAGACTTTTTGGGCCAGTCTGCTGAAATAGGCTAAAAAGCCTATTTTTATGTTACCCTCGAATGATATGAAGTCCATTGGGGTCTCCACCCAGCTGGGTGGCACATGGCTCTTGTGGGTTTATAAGGAGGGTTTGGCTTAGCTGGGGCTATTCTGCTCTCCGTCCAACTCCCCTTTTACAAAGGAGTTTGATTTTATACGTATTCAGGTAGAATACAGGGCCCTGATGCCGTCAGCCACTGCATTTTCCTGTCCATTAACCTTGCTCTGAGAATAATATCGGTGGATTATGTTTCTGGTGTTACCTTGTCAGTCTTAATTTCAAGGCTGCCTGCAGTTTTTCCATCAGCATTTTATTTTGCTGGGAAATAGGGATTTTGACCAGATGAACATTTCATGAGAAGCATCTGCTTTCTCAGACTCTCTGGTTTTGTTCTTTTTTTTTTCTGCCTGTTGAAAATTGTGACTGTTACGAAAAAACAAAGAATCTCCCTCCCCTCACTCAAAGTCCCTTTGGTGGTTTTTAGTTGGTTAGTTTTTGCTGGTTTGTTTTTTTTTTTTTTTTTAATTTTCCATTTTGGGGAAAAATTAAAAAAACAAGCAAATCCTGGGTGACTTTTGGGCTGTGGATGAAAAGTTGAATATTTCCACAAAGGCAAAAATCCATTTCTTGTTTAACTTCAACCTCTTGTCAATCCGATCTTAGCCGAAACCCCTGATACCAAAGCAGAAAGGGAAATAAATAACATATTTTTTTTGTGGGGAAGTTACAGGATATGGAAGGAATGGAAAAGGATGGGGAGGGAATATCTTCTTTTCTTTTGGGGGGTTTGTTTTTCTTGTTATCGTTGTTGTTAATTGCATTATTAGGTTGATTTATTCCCTTAAAATTTGGCTTTTATTAGGCACTGAACATTGTCCCAGCCGGCAGTGTTTCAGAGCATCTCCCTTTTAATGGGGTGTTGTAAAAAGATGCTGCATAATCTAGCACTTGTGCAATATTTATGCCATTCCAAGTGCAATCACGGGTAGATTTTAATTACTGGAGTACACGGATAATTACAACTCTTTTAAAGTGTTGAATTGTCACGAGGGAACAAATTGTCCAAGTGATGTTTTAAAGTGTGGACCAGCCCCATTACCCACCATGGAAATTATTAACTTGATGCATGGTTACATGACTCCTTAATTATTGAGCTAAAAGCTTCCCGTTACAAATAGAATTGTCATTCTGTGTGTAGGATATTAAAAATTGTAACCAAAAAAAGGAAAAAAATTCCTCCAAAATTGAACTTATAGGATCATAAAGAAAAAAGTTCTCCTAAAGAGAACTGGGATCATAAATATATGTGAACAAACCCCCGTCGCCTGCTCAGGCAAAGTTTTGTCATTTACTTTCAATAGTTTATTGCCAAGAGTGGTCGTTTAATTCTGCCTGTACGTGATAATGGAATAGGGGATCTGACCTGCAGAGGTGGATTTTCAACTGGTTTAAATGCGGGTAGCTCCTTTGCCCTGGGTCTGGGTAAGGTGTGACTATGCGCATCTGCAGAGGGGGTTTGTGCTTCTCGTGCACGGTGCAGAGCCGGTGTACGGGGGGAGGATGCCTGCGGGCAGACGGGCTGTAGGTCCATCTGTCCTCTCAGCAGACCCACGCACCATCTGGGGGATTTGCCCAGTGGTGGATGCAGAAAAGACTTGGTGGGGCAGCAGGTTGGATGTTCTCGGGTAAATTCACTGAGGATGTGGACATTGCTCCAAGGAATTCGTGGTTCTGTGGGTGTGGGGAGAACGTGTGGCTGGTGACGCGACGGTGGCTTTGTCCCATTGCGGCAACAAAGCAGAGACACCAACTGAGCAACGTTTCTCTTTCTGTTGCAGCTGGCGCTGAGAGGACCAGCGGGTCCGATGGGTCTGACGGGGCGCCCGGGCCCCATGGTAAGTGAATGGGCAAGCGAGGACAGAGCAGACCCAGCTGGCACCGGCTCCATGGATGCTCTGGGTTACCTGCATGAAGGGTTCTGTTGGGCAAAAATGTAATAAATCATGTTCTCTGTCCAAAGGGACCCCCGGGTAGTGGAGGACTAAAGGGAGAAGCTGGAGAGATGGGACCTCAGGTGAGTATGGGCAACTTGGGCGACCAGGGGGATGTGGGGGAAGCGAAGGCGGGGAGCGGCCGCTGCTGCTTTAGAGGCTGTTGTGAAGGAGCGATTCAGTAACCCAGTGTCAGCTGAAAGTAGGAAGGTGTGGGAACATCTGTTTTGCATATAAATGTCCCTTCAAGTATCCAAATGCAGACTCAAGGCATAATTTTAAGCCAACAGTGTAAAATTCTGCAGGTGGTAGTCCTTTGCTGCAAAGACATCTGCGGAGGAGTCCTGTAAGTACGAGATAGGTTGGAATGCGGGGAGTTTGCAAATGCTCAGGAAATTGTTCCTCCAAGCCGTAAATCCTGCATTTAGGGAAAGTTCCCATTTTCTAATGCTGGGGGAAGTGATTTGTCTCCACCACATGGATCTGCTCTCAGGGTAAAGGCTTCCTCATAGATAAACGCGTGCCGTTCCTGTCCAGAGATGCTCACTCCTGAGCCTTTCCTGTGTATTTTGAACCACGGGCTCTGCTCGAGGTGTTCACATGCCATTTCATAGCCCCGGTGACCTTCACAGCCCCAGCAGCGCCTGCTCAGCGATGCCAGCAGGCACTGGGTCCGTCTGTCGTGCCTTTGGGTGATGGCATTTCTTCCTCTCTCCTTGACGCACCGCAGGGTCCACGAGGCATCCAGGGTCCTCCCGGTCCAGCAGGAAAACCAGGCCGCAGGGTGAGTGTCCTGGGAGCTGCGCTGACGACTGCATTAACTACAATTCCTGCTAGAAACTGTCTCTGCTGCCAAACAATTTCGGAGCACCGAGAGCGTTGCACAAGAGCGAGCGGGCGGGTGGCCAGCCGGTGGCTCGTCCAGGGCCTCGCCGGCCATCTGGGCAGACACAAATGAGGATGGGAGTTAAAAGCCAGGCGGTGTGGGGAGAACTGCAAGTCCACGCTTCCCACTCTTTTGTCTTTTTTTTTTTTTTTTTGACTCTGTGACTTTGGGGTCGTAGCTGCATAAACGCTCTGGACTGGTTTGGACAGTCCCCAGGTCTCGGTAGCGCGTGAGGAGGATCCAGTCCCCGGGAGGGTTTTGGGAGCTGGTATAAATCGAGCTCGCTTGCTCTGTCGACATCCTCGGTGCTGATTTTTATTTTATGCCATCCTCTGGCTTGTCGTGATTCAACTTGCCAGAGGAAGAAACAAAGTCTTTTGTGTCTTTAAAACAAAATAATTTATCTCATTTCAATTTGCGAACATCATCATTAGCATGTCTTAAAATGTGCTGGAAGATCATTATTTCAAATTAAAATCAATGGCCATCTCCCGGCATCCCATGTAGTGTGAAGCAACTTCGCTGCCATTTGTCTCACACCCCTCATTAGCGCCAGGCTGAGCCCGGGATGCTGCTTCAAAACCAGAGCGGTGTTTTTTCCCTGGCCGAGGGGAGCTGCTCCCCCGCCGGCGAGCTCCAACCGAAATCAAACTGCACTCACACACAGACCAGAGAGCAGATGTCTCCACGGTCCGGCGTTACCCGTTGTATTTGACTTTGCTTTGCTCTGTTGCAGGGACGAGCTGGCAGCGACGGTGCCCGGGGAATGCCCGGCCAGACGGGACCGAAGGTAACGCCACGTATTTGTGTGCTTTTAGAAATTGCATCTGCTCCTGAGCGCGCGTGAACTGAGGGACCCTTGGCAGAAGGAGCCCACCTTGCTTGGAGGAGGTTGTTGAAATGGTCCAGTGAGTCCTGTGAAGTCACGGGCTCTGCGTTTGAGAGAGGGAAATTAAACACACACCTAGAAGGCAGAATAGCAATCTTTCTTTTCTTTTCTTTTCCATTTTTTTTTTTTTAATGCAACTTTTAAAAATTGCTGGATCCTCTTAAGAATGAAATATGCTCCCTTGGCTGCAGTTGTAGAACAAATACTTTGGAATCCCAATTACGAAAAACAAACATGAATGAACAGTTGGAAACATCCTAAAATATAACTACCAGAATAATACCTATTAACTGGGTGAGGAAATGTAGAAGGCGTGGTGAGGAATTTTAATGCTCTATATTTTTATTTGAGACAAAATCCCTTCATTTGGCTGTGATCTGCTGGTATTATCAAGCAAGAAAGAAGCTGTTCCGCTGAAATTGAATGCAGAGAAAGTTTGCTCAGGGAATCATGTATTAGAAGGTTTAAGTACTTTATTATGTGGATACTTAAAGCTGGAATAGATGGGGGGTTTTGATACAGAGACAGGAGACTGCAAATCATTTATCCAGTAAAGTGCTTTAATGAGCGTCGACTGCCCTCAAAGGAGTGGATGCCAGGGAAGAAGGGAAACAGAATAACGAGCAGCGCTGGAAAGGAGAGGGAAATTTGCTGTGAGCAGAGACAGAGCGATGCTGTGGGACCTGGCAAAGGTCAGAGCTGCCGGTTGCCCTGGGTGCACCTCGGCCGGGCTGCTCTGTCCCCTGAGCCGCTCGGGTGCAGCCGGCTTTCCTTTCCCTGCCAGTAGGTAAAGGATTTGTGGAAGGGAGGAGCTGGTACCATTTTCACATACCATTAGTATGTGAAGATACAAGTGACTTCACCTCTTTAAAGAGAAAAAGGGACTTTTCTGTCTCTTGGGTGGTACCTGCTGCCTTCTGCCCTGGGTGTCAGGGGACAGCGTCACCCGCAGTTTGCAAACACCCCCATGTCTTCTCTCTTTTCCAAAGAGTGGAGGCTTTTGGGAAAAAGATGTCTTTGTGCATGCCTGTCCCCGTTTCCCCCCAGAACAGAGGAGACTGGAACAAGGGACAAGCCTTCTCTTGCCTGGAGAAGAGAAGGGTCCGGGGAGATCTTATTGCGGCCTTCCAGTGCCTACAGGAGAGCTGGGGAGGGACTTTTTACTGGGGCATGTAGCGACAGGGCGAGGGGGAAGGGCTATAAACTGGAAGAGGGCAGGTTGAGATTAAACATTAGGAAGAAGTTTTTCACTTTGAGGGTGGTGAGGCACTGGAACAGGTTGCCCAGAGAGGTTGTTGAGGCCCCATCCCTGGAGGTGTTCAAGGCCAGGCTGGACGTGGCCTTGGGCAACCTGGGCTGGGGGGAGGTGTCCCTGCCCAGGGCAGGGGGGTTGGAACTCGATGATCTTCAAGGTCCTTTCCAACCTAAACCATTCTGTGATTCTATGGTTTGTGGCTTGGTCAGGTCCACCACGAGCTCTCCACATACCAACCTGGAGGAGCAGCGTGGGCATGGGCAAAACCCCCAGGAAGACACGCTCCTGCTGCCCGCCTGCTCTCAGCACTACTAGGGTTTTGCCTTTCCTTCCTCACACTTGAATTTCTCAACGTTGCCCGTTTCCTTCGGGAGCGTCCACGGACCTGGACAGGGGACGTGAGGAGCGCACCTGGGGGACATTTGCACGGCCGTTTGCAGGCAGATGCTGGCAAGCACCGCTGGGGCTCTGCCAGTGTCAGGTTGCATGAATTTCTCAACACGCTGCCAAGCACAAATTAACACGCCCGGCCTTTTAGCAGAGCTTATTGTTTTGGACTTGGCGTCGTGCTCCCCGGAAGGATGCCCAAAGCTCTGTTTGGCCCAGAGCTGCATTTCCAGCGGTGGGCAGTGGCAGGAGCTCCTGGCGATGTGTAGGAAAAGAGGAATGGCTGGGACCCATCCTTGCCTTGGTTTGCCTTCCCGGTATCAGTGGTTTGGGGCTGTATATCCCCTATACACCCCCGATCTCACAACTGGTCTCACTTTTGGGAGGGTGGCATGGAGATGCATCTTTTGCATCCATGTGAAGTCACCAAATTTACCAGCTGATGACACTCCTGTTTAGGTCAAAACAGATCTGTCTTCTGACCTAGACTTCATTAAGACAGTTTCCAGAATTTATTTGTATATATATTTGTTTCCCCAGAGTGTCCAGGAGGACAAACGGATGTATGGGCTGGATTGCAGAAAAGCTCAGGGTGGTGTTTGGGGACCTGTTGGCAGGTGTGGGTATACTGGTGTCCAATTTACTCACCAGTGGATTGTCGTTTGTAATTCCATGGAATTAAAAATAAATAAGTAAATAAATAGTTGGACTAGAAGAACTTGTCCGTAAGGGTGATGCTTTAGATCATGGAGAAGTCACCCTGAGAAGCTTTGAAATCCACATGGAAAAACATTTAAAACTGCGGGTGCTGGGGGAAGAGGGAGGAGGTAAAATGACTTTGAGCTTTTTCCTTTTTTAAATCTATAACTTTGAAATCATCACTGGTCTGATGGGAGGTGAAGGCCGAATGTCTGACGGAGAAAATCAATCCTTTCTTGACATAGAAAAGAAACAAATTGGGAAGATATTCAACAGCAGGTGGAAATGAGTACTAAATTGTTTTTTTTTTTTCTTTTAGGGTGACCGAGGGTTTGATGGCTTGGCTGGTTTACCTGGTGAGAAGGGAAATAGAGTAAGTTATCTTCCGCTTGTCTTCTGGCCACCATCTGCAATGAAACCTCGGTGGGAGGAGGTGGCTGGGAGGTGCTGGGAGGGGGGCAGCTATTGCTGGGGACGAGCCACAATGGTGCAATTAGGAGAGGATGAAAGTGTCCTGTAAGAACGTGCAGGATGCCACAGCATCCCTCCCAGGATCAGTGTTCACATTGCAGGAAGCTGCAAGATCCTTCTGGGATTGCTTGAAATTGGAAAGAGGGGAAAAAAAAAAATCACCTTAATGAAATTCAGACTGAAAAATACAGCAAGAAGCAAAACCTGCTTTTAGACAGTGCAGTCGCGGATGGAAATTGCCCAAAACATAATGGGATTCTTCTCTTTGCCTTATAATTAAACAATGGGGGGAAAAAAATGGAAGAAGCTGGTTATTTTGGCAGGCTGTTCGTGCCCCCCCTCCCCAGAGAGTGCAGCCATTGCTACATAAAGCAGGGGAGAGTTTGAACAGCGGAGATTGCGTCGTGATTACAAGCTACACAGGAAAGGGAAGACGGTGCCTGAGAGAGATGCTTAATCAGCCAGAAATGGAATAGCATTCCATACAGTACAGTAATAACTGCGTGTGGAGCCCGAGTTCCTCTCCTGAAGGAGCCACGGTGCCTGCTGGGTTCCCAGACCGCTGCCGAAGTGGCACCAGTAAATGCCGTGAGCTCTGGCCGCTGGAGGAGGTCGGTCTGTCGGTGCTGGAGCCCACGCGTGCCCTGGGCAGGTGGAGAGGGGCTGCTGCTGCAGAGAGCACAGGGACGGGACCCCTGAGGGTATGAGTACCTTCAGCACATGGGGCAGGCAGAAAAGTCGAGCCCGTTGCTTGGTTTATCAACGTCACCCAATGTTTTCCATTGCCAGAGCGTATCTGCCTTCTCTGAAGCTTTCCCTGCCTTTCCTTTATAGGGTGAGCCAGGCCCCCACGGACCCCCGGGGGCACCCGGAGAGGATGGGGAGAGGGTAAGTCTATCTCTGGATTTGGCAGTCTTCTGAATTCCTAACTAACTGCTGGAAACAAGAAGCAGATGCAATATCAGCCAGAGACATGGCAAGAGCAGCCCGCGCGTGAGCACCGGCATGTCGTCTGCCGCCGGTCCTTGTGGCCGGGGGATGCTGCGGGTGGCTGTGGCCAGAGGGAAGCGCAGCAAGGAGATGGGAATGAAAGAGAAAAGGATTTGGTTTTAAAGATCTGGTCAGAAAAGTCAGTTTTTGTTAAAAGAAGAAAATAACACAAGAAAAATGCTCATGCTCTAGGTGAGCAAACTGTCACTTCTGATTTTCTAACACCCAGCAAATTGCAGCAGGGCTTGGGGAAGAGAAATTCCAGACAGTCGTGGGAATCGAAGATTAAATTGTTCGCTTCTCCTTCCACGCTATTTAGTCAATAGTCGAAGGCCTTTAGCAAAGCTCAAACTAAGTGATTACCAGCCCGGAATGGCTGGTTTAAGAGGAGAGATTGAAAATGCTGAAGCCGTGGCTGTGAGGAGTGAGTGAGGTTTAATTGGAGGAGCGAGTGTGGATTTCCCAGCCTCTAATTCCCTTCCATGATGTTTGCTTTCCACCTTTGGCTATTTGTTTCCTCTGCAAAGCACAGATAATAACACCTTCCTCACCACGAGGTTGTGAGGATTAATTAGTTGCGGCCGTAAAGTGCTTTGAAGTTGAAAAGACCAAACCTGTGTCCTGCGGGGGGAGAACGAGTGTCTGGAGAACTTTAATCCTAAAGAGAAAAAGAAACCATTGGAAGTGTGCGAGGAGAGAAGCTCGGAGGGCATAGCTGGGAAGAAGAGCATGAATTTTATCATCAGAAGAGGAGGGTTTACAAGGGCTGGCTGCTGAGATTGATTTACGAAGAGGGAGCCTCAGGTTTTGGATGATTTAAAAGCAACTCGGGGGAAGCACCATCTAAAACTCCCAGGGGATCTGTGGGGGCATCAGCAGGAGATGGGAGTGGAGGGATGAAGAATTACCCTTTTGCTGCCTCTGGCTTAGCTGAGGAGCCCTAATTTGGCTAAATCACGTTCCCAGGGCAGCACTCCCATGCTGGCTCGCCATTCCGTTTGGTGCTAAATCTTGTGGTTATTGACTTGCATGCCCTGAATTGTTTCTACAATATCTTGTCTATTAGCAAAATCCATCTTTATAAACATCGACATGAATTATGAAGTATCCTTACAGCATTTCTAATCCCTGGTAAATTCTGCACACGCAGTGTTAGTCTCGGGGCTTACGAGGTCTTCCTTATGCACGGCTACCCTTTTATTACTCCAGGGAAGCTGGTTTTCTCTGTGATTATTATTTAACAAGAATGAAACACCTGTGATGTGACTGAAATATAACTGGTTTGTTCTCTCTCTTTTGCTGCTTCTCTCTGTGCCTTCGCTGCTGAGCAGGGAGATGATGGAGAAGTTGGACCCAGAGGTCTACCTGGAGAACCCGTGAGTATCCCCTCCTTTGGCGTGACGTACAGCAGCATGGCTTTGGTCAATGTTTTGATGTGATAACAGTGGTTTAGGGGTCCCGTGGGGCAGCTCTGCTGGTGCTAAGCAAGACCTGTGAGGTCCTGTAGGGACCTCTCTTGCTTGAAGATCCTCATGAACGGTTTAGAGAGTTGTCTTTGCTGTAAAAACCATGGTTTGCTTTATTTTTCACTACGATAATGGCTACCAAGAAGAGAAGATATTTTCTGGGTTTTTTTTTGTTTATATTTTGTATTTTTTTTTAATGAGTGAAATTCCCATCGATTGTGATTGCTCCCTGGCTAGCATTTGGAAATTAAGCCCTATAATTTCAAATGTAAAGCTTAGCTTAGATTGGTCTTACACCTTTCCTGCATGTATCTTTTTTCTTGATGTGTTATTTAGGATTCAGGTAGGTAGGCAGGGGTAGAAATTATGCACGGTAAACATACGTGAAATAGAGTTTTTGTGAGTGTTCATAGCAAATTCTAATGAGAAAAGGTTTTGTCTGCCATGGTGCAGGTAACGGTAGCCATTAGCCACGCAGCCCTCTCACCTGCGCACTTTGTTTTGTGCGGTGTGAGTGATCCCTTTTAAATCTCAGGATGAGATCCTGGCAGGATTGAGCTCGAGGGGCACTTTAAGCCCTGATTTCAGTGGGGTCAGTATTCCGTTCACAGTGCACGAAACTTCGTAAATCTGCAGAGTTTGTCAATGTTGGGGCCTCCACACGCGGCCACTGCTGGAGCAGCTGGAGCAGGGCTCACCAAGCAGGGGGTTCCTGGGATTGATAAGGTTAAGAGGAGATGCTAGTGGGGTTAGACAAAATTCTCTTGGCTGGCCCAAAGAAATGCTTTCAGGGAATATCCCACTGAAAAGAAACAGTTGAGTTGTCAATTTGAGACTCTGAAAGCATTTTTTTTCCCCCGATACCGAGTATTTTTGACTTTATTGGCAATGCTCAACTCTGCTTCTGGCTGTCTGTAGATTTTTGCATATAGTAGGGTTGTTGGCTGCTTATTTCATCCCAAATGCATTTCCTTTGTTATGAAAAGAACATTAACTATCTATCATTTACCATCGGCCTTGCTTTCAAAATGTCTTATTTTGTTGTTCTAAGGCCCAGCGTGGAGGCCTGAGCGTAATTGATGAGAACTGTTGGACACACTTCATGACAGAAAGAGAAGGGTTGGCATTTATGGACTCACTGGAACTAAATTATAGACGAGATGTCTGATTAACTTCTGGGAAAGATTAATCAACTCAGCTATCCTCCTTAGCACATGTCTAAGCAATAACTTATGGGTTATTAACTTCTTAAAAGCGTTTATGTGCTCAGGTAACACAGTAACAAAAGAGGAACTTAAATGATGATAATGCATGCAGAGAGGTTTATTTTTATTTCGGCAACACGAGTAAAAATATCTGTGATGGCCAGAGTAAAGGTTTAAATTGCATTATAGGAAATTTTTGTCGATAATATATATCCCCTAAATCTGCATGCTTGTCTTTTTCTCGGCCCTGAGCCAAAAGAGGGTCTTTCGAAATTTAATGGTGAGACTTCAAAATTTGTTTCTCTTCATCCTGCTCCATTTCCTTCCAGTTCCTATCACCAGCTGATACAAGCAGAGTTTCTGCTCTGCTGGGGCTCAGCGTGCAAGGTTTTAGCCCGTGAAGGTCTCTGGTGGCAGGGACAGACCACTGGGTCGATGCATCCAGTTTTTGCTGCAAACTGCGTTTTTTGCAGTCTCCGCAGTCTCCAAGATCAAATACTTTCTTAACGTCTCCTATTTTATCCTATAACATTTCTTTTTAATTCCTCTGTCCTCTCTGCATAATAAAAAGGAGAATATAATATTTGGGCAGACAGATAAAGCTGCCCATCAATCAAGAACGATTTTCCTCTGTGACAGTGAATGAGTGCCATCCTTATAAATACCCAGAGTTCCCCTACGGTGCCTAATTTAAGCAAGGGCCCGCGTTTAAAAGGTGAGCTTTCAGATCTGCAGCTGAGTGCACACAAGACCCCATCCCTTTCCTTTTCCTACAAACCTCCCTGGAGGCGCAAGGTAGAGGAGATGCTGGGCTGTGATTTGCAAATCTTCCTATGGAACAAATACAAATCTTCTGCCATGTGGTGGCTTATTCAATAGGATGCTCCAATCCTACCCGTTTGCCTGGAGGTGACGTGAGGTTAAATCCGGTGAGGATGCTAGAAATGGAAAGAAAACACCATGATACCAGGAGTCCCGACTGGTTAAGGTTTAAGAACCAAATGCCTTTGAAAATGTACATTTATGCTGCAGGCTGAAAACCTTTTCCCGCCTTGCTGAGTTGTATAGATTGTCAATAATTAAAATGAAATTTGGAGAGATTTTGAAATGCTAACCTTAATGATCCATTAGTGGCACCAGGTCATTTTTCATAATACTTCCCGGCTAGAATGACTTGGCTGCAAAGTGTTTTGCATCATTGTGTGCTTTACAGGGTAATCCAGGAATATGATTAAATTAATAAAAAATAGTTGGTTTTAAGTGGGCCTTCTTCCAATCCAAAGAATAAATGTCTGTGCCTATATTATTTATCTTTGTAATTCAAGGATATGTGCACGCAGGATTTCTCTTACAGGTTTGTAAACCAAGAAAGCTGCTGCTGTTGCAAAACCAGCAAAGTCATTGCCGTGTAATTCCGATGCTCAGCCGTGCACGTGCTCACCCCAGTCCACGCTCACGGCAGCACAGAGAGGGGCTGGAAACACTAATCCCGTTTGTTTTCCCCCAACAGGGACCCCGAGGACTGCTGGGACCGAAGGGGCCGCCGGGACCCCCGGGGCCACCGGTGAGTTCCCGGGGCTGGTGCCCTCCTCAGACAGGCAGCTGAGCTTCCCGGGAGGCATAGCCTGTCCCCATTAGTCTTTAAACAGATAATACAGCTGCATAATGTTACACATCTGTGCAATGAAAACAAGTGGTGTTCAAAAAAAGTTAGGTCTCGAAAGTCCATATTCTCTCCCATTTTCAGTGGCGTCACGTCCATTTACGGCAGCTCAAGATTTGGCCCACCTGAGTAAATATTAATGCCTCACTCAGGCTGAAAGGGAAGAATGAGAGTTATTAGCACAGTGGCTTTGCTATTAACTTTTGCCTGAGGGCTGGTGAGACTTTAAAGCAGTTTGTTCATATTTCGGGCGAAAGCCAAGGAAAGAACATGCCGTTTTTTATTCGGGAGACAGTCACCTTACCTGTCGGGCGCTGCTGGAAGTGCTGAGGCAAAGGCTCTCTCCGTAAATCACTGCAGCTCGCTGAAGTCCCAGAACTTAAAACCCAAAACTCGGGCTGCTGCTAGAGCTAAAGGGGTCAGCGTTTAATGGTGAGCGTTGTGAAGCCCTTAACCACTCCTGGGACACAAAGACATCTTCCCTCTGAGCTCCTACTCCTGCTGAAATTTAAAGACATCTTCCCTCTGAGCTCCTAGTCCTGCTGAAATTTAATGAGGTTTCAGGATCTGCTCCAAAACTGTCTCATCTCCCACGAGCATGCCGTTACACCCAGGTACCTTACCCTGCCCCAGAGCAAAACGGTGACAGGGGAACCGCCAGCGGCACATCTCCAGTTAACCATGTGCCATGTTAACCCCCTTAATGAAGATGCTCAGGCTACGTTTGACCTCGGTTGCCTTTTGTGGTCAGATCCTTATTTTGGCACGAGGCAGTGCGGCCCCGTTGGCTTCACCCGCTGCCTCGTTGAATGATGTATTCACGTCCCAAGTGAGGTCTTTTGTCCAATTTTTCCTTTTCATTTGCTACTCCGTGCCTGCCCACTGTAGGAGGCGATGGGCCGCGGTACTTAGCCGGGATTTACTCGACCTGGTGCTGATTCTGCCTCGCAGGCAGGTTAACCCAGTGGGGAAAACACTGAAATGACTTTTTAAAGTGTAAACTGAATCTGTGGAATTGGCTGCTCTACCAGACACCTTTAGAAAATTGTTCCCATTCCACAAGGTCCAAAGGGCCTCCTGATATTTTGTTATTTTTATGGGGATTTCTCTGCTTTTGTGGTGCAAAGTAACAAGGTATTTTCTCAGTGCTGTTTTTTAACTCCTTTCTCAGGGTGTGGCTGGTATGGATGGACAAACAGGTCCCAAGGGGAATGTGGTAAGTTTTCACTGCAAATTTCACAGACAGTTCAGATATTATATAGACTCATAGAATCATAGGATGGTTTGGGTTGGAAGGGACCTTAAAGATCATCTAGTTCCAACCCCCCACTAAAATGTACTCTATTAAATTAGATTTGCTAATAGCTTTTTAGCCTGGTCTAGATTCCTATCAGAGCCTGTGAAAACCACAGAAGGTATCTTCCTACAGCACATGGATGTTAATTTATTGTAATTTCTGATGGAATTACACATTATTTCCCCATGAAAGATCAAACACTTTCATTGAGATGTGTGTTGTCCTAATGAATATCAAAATATAGTAATTTAACTGAGAGGAAAAAAAATATCTTTACGTGCCTCATGCTTTGTACCAAGCGGATGAAGTGGGCTCCCTGCAGAAGAGCCCGTGCAAAGCCAGGTAGCGTTAAAGCCCTGCTCAGCAAATTGGGGCTGCATGGCCCTGCAGAGAAGTGAGTGTGCCCTGAAATAACTTCACCCCTCCCCATCCCACCGGGGGGAGAAGCACTTTCCCTTTCCCAGGAGCTCTCGATTCCCGGCGGTGGGTTAGAGAGGGTGTGGAGACGCGGTGCGAGGGCGCAGGGCTGTGCAGGGGACGGGAGCCACGGTGCCCGAGGCAGCACCAGCTCCGCTCTCGCCTTTCCTGCCGTCAGCTCTGCCCTTTTCTCCTCGCAGGGTCCTCAAGGCGAGCCGGGTCCCCCAGGACAGCAGGGTAACCCAGGTGCTCAGGTAAGAGGAAAACTCCTTTTCTCTGGGTAGGACAAAGGAAGGATAATTTTGCACAGGCTTCGCTGCCCTGCCAGCGATGGGACCAGCAATGAAGGGATTCGCTGGGAGTTGGCTTGACGATGTATTGCTGACCCAAAATCTTCCTGAAAGTGCTCCCAGTTTCAGATCCCCGCCCTGGTTCTCACCTGGGTTTTGCTGCCGCATTGCATAGCCAAACCCAAGTCTACGGAGTCTCTTCGGCCGAGCCGCCTCTTGTGGCTCATGCCTGATTTTTAGCATCCCACAGTCCGGTTGCTCTGGAGCCAGATGGGTAATACAGATGTCCAAGCCTTGCTGTCAGCCTTCCCCACGGCTCTCAGCAAGTCTCGCTCCTCAGAGCATCTCTGTTTCCATCCTGGGGATGAGCCTGGCTGCACACGGCGGAGCAGTGCAGCTCTCCGGCGGAGGCATGCCGTGCAAAAATGGAATTTTATCGTCTATTGCAAGACATGTTGAGAATGAATGGAGCCGGGGAAATCCCCAGCCGTCGCAGGCACTAGAATGATGCTCAGCTGAGGCACTGCCAAAACGTACTTGGAACAAATAACTTGTTCCTTAGTGACTCTAGATTTTTTTTCTTTTTACAGGGTCTTCCAGGTCCACAAGGCGCCATCGGTCCCCCAGGAGAGAAAGTACGTTTAAATACTGCAGCTCTGACTTAAGACAACTGTTACCATTAATATGCATTTACTACTTCAGCTGCTCCTTTGCCCCATATGCAACATCTGCTTGCAGCCGTGTCTATGAAAGTCTAATGCGTCTCATTCCAGACAGTAAAGAGACAAGAAAACACGGTTTACCTCTAATTCATAATATTTGCATTCATTTCCCATCTTAAGAGAAACATTTTGAAGAAAGCCTATGGTAAAACGTTCGGAGGGGACTGAACATTGTCTTTTTCTCTGGGCTAAATGCCTGGAAGTCTGAGCGGGATGGTAATGGGAAGAGCCCGTGGATTCGGCTGGCTCAGCCGGGATCCCCTCCCTCTGCCCCCTCCCGGCCTGCGCCAGCTCTCCCTGAGTCTCCGCGGCTGTGGACGTGGCGTAGGTGCCGACCTCGGTTCCCCCCGGCAGCCCCGGGGCCATCAGGGTTTAAGCAAGGGGGACAGTTTTGCCTACAGAGGAGCAATTCTCCGGGCGTTTGCTCAGCTCCCGTCGAGCAGGGATGCGGCGTGCGCCCCGGGAGAATCCCCTGCTTGTGTTGGCAGCGTGGGGTGGACTCAAATTATCGATAATTCTCCCGCAAAAGGAGCACATCAGCAGTTCTGCCAGATAACGGCCTCTCTGGTCTCACTGCTGAGTCACACGCTCGCAGCAGCGGTGGCACTCCTCGGTGGTGTGGGAAATCAGGGGCGTGCTTAATTAAAAAGGTAATCGTTGAACGATGTTAAAGCAGCAGGCACGGCCAAGTGGGGCAGCTCCACTAGTCCTTTGCTGGTTAATCACCTTGCCATTTGTCACCAGAGAGTGGGCACTTCTTGGTCCAGTGAGCCCCATAGTTTGATAGCCTCCAACCTGCGCAGCATCGTACCCGCTCAGCAGGACGGCGGCTCGATGCCTCATGCTCCGGCGTCCCCTGCGGAGCTCTCGTTGCTGTATCATGCCTGTCTGCACTGATGCTGCAGCACCCCGGGATGCTAGAACAACTCTGCCCACAGACATAAGCAGAGTCCTACAAGGCCCAGCAGCTTTTCTGACAGACTCACCTCTCTGCAGCCTTTTGGAGCTGGGAAAAGCAAGATATGTGTCTGAAAAGCGCCATCCTCTGCTGTTTTGGAGACTCTGACCATTGCAGCTGTTGATTTTCCGTTTGTTTTTAGGGGCCGCTGGGCAAACCTGGTCTTCCTGGCATGCCTGGAGCAGATGGTCCTCCGGTAAGTCGTCCTCTCCTGGGTCTCTGCTTGGCACCAGGGCTGCGGGGCCTCATCCTGCACCCATCCGCCTTGGGGTGCACCGTGGGCTTGGGAAGCGTGTGAGCCACCAGCCTGCCCACGTTTCAGCTGGCTTGAAGGGTTTGAGTTTGAGAAGCCCCGACCCTGCTCCAAGCTTTGCTCGGCCTCACCGCGCAGCACCAGGCACTTCTCACCCTCCCTTCGGGCTCCTCTTTGCCCTTCTCCTGGTCCTTCTCTCTGTTTTACATAGGCTGGTGGATCACCGAGGTAGGGACAGTCTCCTGTGTGTGTGTTTATGCGTATGGCAGCACCATACGGGGTGGTCCTCATCTCGCTCAGGGCCGCTGGGCACTGCTGCGGAACGGTGATAAGAACAGGTTGAAATTGCATGTCAATATTGTATTCCTGCAGCTTCTTCCTAATCCTACTTGAAACCTTGTTTGCTCCTTGCTCTGGAAATTGGTCTTAAAAATCCCTGTCCTTTAAACCCGATCTCATTTTTACACACCTCAGAGGCACCTGGTTTCAAGAATGACAAATGTAAAATAGTTACGTTCCACTAATGCAAATGCAGAGCATGGCAAAGAAAATGACATTTCCCACCCTGGGATTACCATTCCTACGGAGGGCATTTTGAACATGCGTACCATTGTTAGCTGAGTCAACAGAGCAGCTAAAGCAAAGCCCAGAACATCTCTAAGGCTGTAGCTTTCCATGTGAAATTCCGACAGCAGCCTCCAGGGAAGTTCAGCTGGAGAAGAGGCCGGGTCTATTTTTATGCAGAGCGAAGGCTGTATGAAAGCTGTGAGCTGAGCACGTGTGGGTGTGCGTGGGCACAGGTCCTTTGCCACCCGTAGTTCTGTAGTTTGCAGACAGTTTGTAGGATTTTTTTTATTTTTTTTTTTGCCATCCAGAGGGACCTGGACAGGCTGGAGAGGTGGGCCCATGCCAATCTCATGAAGTTCAACAAGGTCAAGTGTAAGGTCCTGCATCTGGGTCAGAGCAATCCCAAGCACAAATCCTGGCTGGGTGGAGAATGGCTGGAGAGCAGCCCTGAGGAGAAGGACCTGGGGGTGCCGATTGATGAGAAGCTCAACATGAGCCGGCAATGTGCGATCGCAGCTCAGAAGGCCAACCATGTCCTGGGCTGCATCAGAAGAAGTGTGGCCAGCAGGGCGAGGGGGGGATTGTGCCCCTCTGCTGCGCTCTTTTGAGACCCCATCTGGAGTGCTGCCTCCAGCTCTGGAGCCCCCAAGATAGGAAAGACACGGAGCTGCTGGAGCGGGGCCAGAGGAGGCCCCGGAGATGCTGGGAGGGCTGGAGCCCCTCTGCTGGGAGGACAGGCTGGGAGAGTTGGGGGGGTTCAGCCTGGAGAAGAGAAGGCGAAAAAGGGGAGACCTCAGAGCCCCTTCCAGTGCCTAAAGGGGCTCCAGGAGAGCTGGGGAGGGACTTTTTCCAAGGGCATGTGGTGATAGGATGAGGGGGAATGGCTTCAAATTGGAAGAGGGGAGATTTAGATGAGATATCAGGAAGCAATTTTTCCCTGTGCGGGCGGTGAGCCCCTGGGGCAGGTTGCCCTGAGAAGCTGTGGCTGCCCCATCCCTGGAGGTGTTCAAGGCCAGGTTGGACGGGGCTTGGAGCAACCTGGGCTGATGGGAGGTGTCTCTGCCTAGGGCAGGGGGTTGGAGCTAGGTGATCTTCAAGGTCCTTTCCAACCTAAACCATTCTATGATTCTGTGATTGTAAACAAATGGGTTGCTCTTTCCAAGGACAAAAACCCGCCCATGTTCTCTTTGTGGAAACTGGTCTTGGAAGATACCTGAAAATCCCTGAGGGCCTGCAACATCTCACTCCAAAAGCCAACCAACTTGCTCATCCTTTTTTGATGTTAGTAGCAGTAATGAAGACAGGCGTTTTGCAAATGGCGGTGATCTAGTGTAGAGTGGACAAAGGCTTTTGAAATCTTGCTGCACTTCTATTTTGCCTCCCCTGGGTGCAGATATCGGGAGCTGAAGGCAAGCACAGTTACATGACCCGCTTTGTGCACTGATGCTCTTTGTGCCATTTAAACTCACAAGACAAATTCAGATTGAGTTTTCTCCTACGTTTTGTTGGTGTATAAATGACAGCTGTCATTTTGTTTCTTTATTAAACCAGCGGGTTTTATGAGCTCCAGCTTGTCTGACACTCCTGTTCTGAAGACTGATGATGGAAAATAGTCTTATGATTTTACTTGCTGTATTGCTAGAAAGTAATTTGTGTATTTAGAAGGGAGTTGATGAGTAAAGAAACCATTGAGTGCAGAAGGTCTTACTGGCTTTAGAGCAGCTGTATGTGTTCTCATCATCTTTATAAATTAAAAGGTCCCTTGGGTGTGCAGCGAGCGCCGTCGCGGGGGGCTTATTGCTCTTCTACAGACGTTGCCATATTCCATCCTGGCTCCATTTTGGTTCCGACAGTAGGAAAATCAGCACTAAAAACTACTTTCATGGATTTCCTCCATTTCTCACTAACCCTCCAAGCTACATCTGAGGCCATTCACGCTTTTGTTTTTCACTGACTGCAATCCCAGCAAAAGGCTTCTAAAGGCTGTGAATGAGAATGTGTTGGAAGCTCTTGGATGCTGAGTTATTCAGCATCAAATCCCAAGAGGAATGCTGGCCAGCGTCCAGCCAGCCGACGTCTAACGGGGATGCAGGTTAGCTGAGCATTTGTCATGAGATCTTGTAATGGACTCTAGGAATTAGGAAATTAATGAGGAGCTTTGACCAGTCTGGGCATCTTGTGACCTTCACAAGTTGGCTCACACACGGAGTTAATGTTATCTGTTTTCCTATCTGCAAAATTTATATGCTGCTTGCTGCTGAACTCACTGAGGTGTTCTAATATGTGAAGAATATTGCAAAACGGTTTGTGCTGCTCTGCTGAAAGATGGTGAAAAGTGTAGCATAACCAGGTGGAATACCACCAAAGACCCAAATGCTGCTCTTTTCCTTTTGGGGAAAGCTTACTCTTGCAAGTTGGCTTCAGGGGGGCTACTTGTCTCAGTAAGACCTTCCTGGAGCATAACTGTTCTCTTACAAATAAATCACAGCAGCCTGAGTGAGCTTGTTGGCTTCTGAAGCATTAGATGTGCACTAAACCCGTTTCCCTCTTGTCTTTGTCTCTTTTCTGAATAGGGTCATCCTGGCAAGGAAGGTCCTCCTGGAGAGAAGGGGAGTCAGGTAGGTGTCAACCTCATCACAGCTAAGGGGAAGGTCATGGTAGCTGGATGGAGAAAAGACCTCCATGCGGCTCTGGGGATGGCCGGGCAGCCGGGGGATGTGGGTCAGTGGAGGTGGCAAGAAGCAAACCCTGTTCAAATTTGAAAGCTGAGCCCAGCTTTCATCTGCCTGGGAGTCTCTTCTGGTGCTTGGGCCGGTCCTTCCTCAGCTCCTCCCAGCTTTCCTGGCAAGCAGCACTCCGTAGGCCAGTGGATGCCACAACTGAAATTGTGAAGGGAAACTTCTCTTGATCAGACACAAATAAATATCCCTCAGGCACAGGGAATGCAGAAAAGAACACTTTTTGTATTCCTGGTCTTCCTTTTTCTTCCCCTCCCCTTCAAAGTCCCTCTTTAACAATATATTTGATAATATTGCTGGAGGCGGGAGTCCTTGAATTATACAGTCATCTTCTGTCTGTCCAGGAGATTTACCATCTGCATTCCCGCTGTGTCCCATTCAGTTGAAAAACATTATGTTTGTCAAAAGTCTTTGATTAGAGCGCAGTCCGGTTTGATGGACGTCCGCTCGTGCCGTGCTCGGGTGCTGCGCGGAGCACAGCCCACCGCCGCAACTGTTTGTCCGGCCGGTGGCGCATGAGGCTGAAAATTCAAACCTTGGGATCTGCAGAATATAAGAAGCCAATAAGTGGTTGTGCCAGCGCTCCTCGTGCTGGGAGATATTTGGCAAACCTCAGGGAGGTGATCTTGGAGCGGGGCTGGTGCTGCAGGTCTCCTCCAGCTGACACTGGTGCGAGGACTGGGATGCTGCTGGACCTGTCGGCTCTGTCTGGCTGCCAGGCTGGAAAAAACGGTCCATCTCAGGCTGGGAGAAGTGGGAGGGTATTTGTTTAGTTAGGGAATTGAGCAAAATAAAAGCCAACTGGGTTCAATAAAGACTGTGATTTATTTGTGGGTATAAGACAGTGTGGCAGTGAGGGTGGGAAGGAGTGTTTGCGGGGTGTGCATCGGGCACCGTGTCCAGCACAGCTCGTGGTGTCCCTGGGAATTTGCAGCTTTCGGTGCCAGAAAGGAGCTTTGTGAGCATCTCCTCTCCCACACAGCTGAGGCCAAAGGACATCACCCCGAGGCTTGTGCCTGAAGCAATAACTCCTCTCTGTGATCACCATCCTCACAGGCTCTGCTGCGTTACTGTGAAACCAGGATGGTTTGGGAGGGGGAGACAGCAGGAGAACACGTTCTTCTCTCAGAGAAGTTGTTCTTTTCTTTAATCCAAAATACAAATCGTCAACCTTATGTATAAATCCCCTTTGTGACAAGTTGTTGCTGTCTTGTCTCTTCTCTTCCTCCTTTCCTATCATACAGACCTTTACCGTTGGCTCGGCTCAGGCACCTGCTCGAGGTGATGTCCCTATAGCGCTTGTTGCTATTTTGAGCTATTTTCAGGTGGCCGCTGCTATTTCCACCCGGTCTGAAGGAACCAGGTGGCTGGAATATTTGTTTTCCACTCGTTTTCCACACATTCTCCTTATTGCTGCACCTTCGTATTGATTTTTGATGTGTTTTTCTGTTTGCGTGTTTTTCACCGCAGGGTCCACCAGGTCCTCAGGGCCCCATCGGTTATCCAGGACCCCGCGGAGTCAAGGTAAGGAGGACACAGAAAACGGTGTCCATGGCGTTGCTTGTTCAACTTGAGTTCTCCAGCTTGTGCTGGAGGTGGACACTGCCAATGGGCACCAATGCTCTACCAGGGCACTTAGGGCCACCTCAGTGACAAAGTGTATTTACCACTCGAGCGAGCATTGGTCCAGTGTCTTCTCGTAGGCCGTGAGGACTACAAGTCCCCTGCTCTCCAGTAACCCCTCCAAGCATCGTTCAGCGCTTTGGAGAGATTTCTCCTTTAATTCTTGGTGAGCATGGTTCAGTCCCATTCCAATCGTTTCCATTTTACAACCAAAGTAAATCTCAGCCAGAATGTGAAGACTTTAACAAGGCTTGTTAATAAAACAAAATAGCCTATTACTAAAACAAAGCAAGCTTTTCATGCTCCTGATCCAAAACCTTGTTAGACGAAGCTTGTGCGTCTCAGCAATGTGCTTTTTCACTAGATTGAATTCCAGCTCTTTCCTCGCTCCTGCTGCCTGCAGCGTTTGCATGCTGATAAGAAGGCGGTGGGTATTTTTTTTCCCCGTCCAGCTCTGGCTGTTATGCCCATCGAGATGTATTAGTTGAGGTGCAGATGCATCCTGCATCCCAAAGGTGCAATGAATCTGCAGGGACCTGTGCTAGCAGATCCAAACACAGCTTGGGGACTGACTATAGGTGAATTTAAGCCCTCTTAAACCCCCGTGTATATTTTTTCAATAGCAGAAACCCATTTGCTTGTTCTGCCTTCAAAATTTAAGCTGGATGTATTTAGCCAAAGCAAGCTCTCATCTCATTTCTGGTGAGGTTGTAGATTGAGACGTAGTGGTCCATTAGGGAATGGTTTGCTGTTGTGTTTACCGCTAAAGAGGAATTGTTCCACATTAGAGGGATCTAGAGAAAGTGTGTCACGCACCAAACCCGTGGTGCGTACAGACGAGGTTTTGCTTCCTACAAACAGTGTTCTATTAACTGCATGAGCCTCCAGTTCTGGGAAAAAAAATGTGTCTCATTGGGTTTGCAGCTATAAATAACTTTCAGATCTTGCCTCGCTTACCAGAACCCTGTCCTGATGCACAAATTTTGATGCACTTTTCTTAACATGCTGAAGGGAAGAAAAATTTAAAACACCCCAAGCAAAATATTATTCCTAAAAAAAAAAAAAAAGCTTCTGTTTTTTTTTATTGTGAGAGTTACACTGCACAGCACAGCTGGTGTAGGTACCGGAGGGTGATGTTTTATCCCAAGAGGCAGGATAGATGGGAAGTGTGGATGCCTGGTGGCATAGCAGGGGCCAGATCCTGACCGTAGTCAGCACCTTTGAGATGAACACCATGGACTGATTGCCTTGGTGAAGCTTTGGAAGGCTTCCGCACCATGTCACAAATGTCTGCAGCAGTCGTGTTGGTTTTTTTTTTTTATTCTTCCTTTTGGTCCTAAACATACTTTAAAAAAAGTAGTGCCTGCACAGAGGTGAGAGCCACGGTAAAACAGAGCTAAGCCTAACCTTTGTGGGTGCTAGAGGCACCACTGCGGAGCACCAAGCTGGCAGGGTTTGGGGTTTTTTTAGTTATTTGTAGAAACCAAACTTTTCACAGTGAGTTTTGTCCCTGGAAACATAATTCCTGCAGTTAGGTTGGGAAGATCACCAACCCGACCTGCCAAATCAAGTCAGCAGAGGTTTGCGACTGTCAAGTACTCGCCGGTGACCCCAAAGCCAGACGTCAGCGGCTGATACTCAATTAGCAGTATGTTTAGGAACATCACAATTTGCAGAGATGCCATTGTCAACATCGGAGGAAGCAAAAATCACCGTGATTAATGATTCTTCACTCTTAAGCTTACTTACACCCTTGTAACATCTTGTTTTATCTCCTGCAAGGGAGCAGATGGTGTTCGTGGATTGAAAGGCACCAAAGGGGAAAAGGTGAGTCAACACTGCACGTTTGGGTTGATATTCTACAGCCTCTGAGCGCTTTTGCAGATGGGTCCTGCAGGATGCTCCCGGTGGCATTTAGTCCTGCACAGGGTTTTCTCTGAGCACCTGAAGGACTGGTAACGTCTTTGTTTTTGGAGCAAGTACGGGCTGGGTACCTGCTGTGATGTTCTGCCACGTCTTGGCTCGGACCTGGGAGTAACGGAGCATCCGTGGCATCCTCAGGTTTTGAGCTGTTTGCAGGGGCAGCCGTTGCTGATCACTCAGGGTACGGCATCGGGATGATTTCCTCCTGACAAAATTTGCAGCTTGAGTGATGCAGTGGAGCTGAAGGGTTTGTGGTGTGTTACAGCTGGATAACAGCGTACGGGGTATGCTGCCCAGCCCGGTCATCAGAGCAGCTCGTGAAATCCAAGTCAATAAGAAAGTCAACACAGTCCATCTCTGCATGTCTCAAAGAAGCAATTGGTTTCTCCCAGAGGAAAAGCAGGAGGTGGAGAAAGATCTTGCCCAGTCCCATAAACAGATCCGTGTTCCTTCGTTCCTGCCTCCAGCAATTCGGCAGCAAAGCCGGCGGTTTCAGCTAGGGAATCCTGGCAGGGACCTTCCAAACTTTAAAAGTCTTTCTGGGAACTGTGTCTTCATTGCCTATGAGAGATTTGCTGTAGGATGAAATACATTATTGATTTGAGCTCTGCAATTAAACCTTCTTGGCTGAAAGAAATATTGCCACTGTCCTAGAGGTTGCCTCGAAGCATAGTGTAAAACATCCTCCATGAAAATAAAACCAGTTGTACTTCAGAAATAATTGGTTCCTAGTACTGGCGAGGTGTTATTCACATCGGGCCAGATTTGTGATCTTGACTTGCAGCCAGGACAGGATGTAGGGAATACTTTCTGTGATCCCCTGGGGACCTCAGCAGTCGCAGCCTGGCTGGGTTTCCCTGCCCGTTTGTGCACACCAAAGACTTAGAGAAGCCAATGTGACAGGCGGTACAGGGACCTAATCTTGTCCTTCCTGGGAAGGGGCCATACAGTGAGGCCAGAGAAGCCTTTTTTCTTTTTATCCATCTATACACCTTGTTTGTTTTTACCCCTTTCTGTTATTTAGGGTGAAGACGGCTTCCCTGGCTTCAAAGGTGATATGGGCATCAAAGGAGACCGGGTAAGAGTCTATGACCGATATGACCTTGTAGTGCTTTGCCTTTCAAGCCCATGTGTTACCGTGAAAACGTGGCTCAGGGAGGGCAGCAAGGTGGGCTCCAGTCGGAGTCCTTCTGGCACGTCCGATCTTGAGGCAGGAACTCAGGAATTTCATGCTCACATCAAGCACAGCAGTTTTAAATCCCTAAATTTGCTAATCCCACCGTGAAGGTAAAATAAAACTGAGTGATCTTAGAGGGCCCTGTCTTGCTGCTTTGACTGCTCGGAATACTGCGTGATCCAGCTGTATCATACTCACTGTGCGGGCGGTGAGCCCCTGGGGCAGGTTGCCCCGAGAAGCTGTGGCTGCCCCATCCCTGGAGGTGTTCAAGGCCAGGTTGGACGGGGCTTGGAGCAACCTGGGCTGGTGGGAGGTGGCCCTGCCCAGGGCAGGGGGGTGGAACCGGATGGTCTTTAAGGTCCCTTCCAACCTTAACTATTCTATGATTCTATATATTTATTTCCAGTAACTATTTTCCCTTGCGTTATTACATCTAGGATCTGGTAGGCATCTTTATTTGCTGAGCCTAATGTGCCTCAATACCATCAACGTGAAGTGTAAAGTCACCAGGAACACACTTTAATAGAAACCGAAGCAGCACGATGAAAGCTGCCAGTGGCAGGGGTTTATATGAGACCCGTATCTTTAGCCGCAAGGCACGTTGCCTGGTCGCAAAAGCTTTTCAGAGTCAGTAGAACACACAAACCACCAGAAACCCCAAATTGCACTCGGATACGGGCAGTGGCTGCAGCCCGTGGCTTTGCAGCCGGTCTGTCCATCCTTCACACCCAGCCCTTGGGGACAGGGGGCTGTCCTCGTCCCCTCTCTGAGTGATGCACCGCCTGGGGTTTGGTGTCCCCCGGAGCTCTGAAGCCCTCCCGGGGATCAAGAGATCTCTGCCATCATTCATCCCCATGTTTAACGGAAAAACGAATGCCTTGAGTGAAGGCTTGTAAAAGTAGAAATCAAATCCTCCATCTCTCCTGGTGTTTAACTGTGTAATTGAACAGTTAAAATAATTGGAAACTTTCCCAGCCTCCACTTCTCGGCAAGGAAGAAGGACCGAAGGTGGCATCTCAGGGAGGGGACTCCTGTCCTCGCCAAATGCAGACAGACACAAGCTCCTTCAAACAAAGCTGGCGGCTCCAGTTCCCACCGTCGAGCTCTTTGTGTTTTATGATGACCGATGAAAGGACAAGGGGTATTCAAGAGCCTTGCAGATAAATTTGCGTCCACCCAGCTTCGGGTGAGCAAGAAGAAGGCTGCCTGTGTTCGCAGCATGGAAGCATCTCCTGTTACCCTGCGTGACAAAATGACAACTGTTGTTTTGTGTGCAGTGTCACAACAATTCACGTTAATAGCTTCGTCCTCTCCATTCTCAGATTTCCTAATGATTTTCAGCACAAAAGCTCCAGCCCGGTCTTTCTTCTCCAGTTGCTGGGTTCAACCCTCAATTAAACACTTCCCAGGGCTTGTTTGCACATCCAACTGCGAATTGGGAACCGGGAGGTGGGGAAAAGGGTGCGTTGCAATCGGAGCTAATGGAGGCTGTTTCGGTGGAGAGGCACTGCATGTAGATGGGATAATTGGGTCACAGGAAAAGACGGCTTTTATGGGAGATAATGGCCAGGCTGTGCGAATGAAAGCTTAGTGCTTTAACGATGCTCTGCAATTTACTCAATGACAGTCTCGTCTGAACCTCTTGGTGAAGACCAGCTCTCTCCAAGGGTTGTATCAGCAGCTCCATGGAGTGTCTGGTTGCAGCTGTTGAGGGTATTGCTGTCAGCAAACATGGGGTCTGAGACCTGCCTGCCTCGTCAAACCTTGTCTTGTGATTAACAGGGGGAGATTGGACCTCCTGGCCCCCGAGGTGAGGATGGCCCTGAAGGTCCCAAAGGTCGCTCGGGCCCCAATGGAGATCCCGGTCCTCTCGGTCCTGCTGGAGAGAAGGTGAGTCTCAAGAATGGAATGGCTCAGGGATGTTAAACAGAAAAAACGGCTTTTCCTTGGGTGTCTCAGGTGGGTGCCCAGCACGGGGGGGGCAGTTTTAGAGCAGAGGGATGAGGAGGAACTGCAGGAGCTTTGTGTGAAGGCTGGCCTGACTTGTTCAACACAAAGACCAGAGGAGACCCAGGGGAGGTGGTTTTACTACAGCAGCATGACTTAAGCACATTGAGACGTTGGTCTCTTTGGGGTTATCTGCTTGGATACAAAGTCTTGAAAAAAGACCAGAGGAAAAAAAAAATGGAGAAATTGAAAGTAGCGTGGACTCCAGTCGAATTTCTGGGTGCATCCAGTTGAAAAAAAAAAAAAAACAATAGCAAAAAAATACCCATTCCCCATTAGGTCCCTGACACATTTACAGTGGTCACAAACCCACTGGGCTTCCCCCGGGGAGGCAGAGGCTGATCGCAGTGCCCTGACACCTTTATTCCACCCGCGTCGTGTCTGCTTTGCTCTTGACGGCTCTGCACTTGGCGTCTCCCCTTTCTGCTGGTGCAAATCTGAAGCTGCTCGCAAGGTCTCTCTTGCCTACGCTAACATATTTTTCTTTGTGTTTCAGGGAAAACTCGGTGTGCCAGGACTGCCCGGCTACCCGGGCAGGCAGGGCCCAAAGGTAACGCGATGGGGTTCAGTCCTCGAGAGGTACGGGGTGTGCTGGGGACCCCGGTGGGCACCAGCTGAGCTCTGGTGGCGGTGCCGTGCAGAGGGCTCGGTCCCCGCTAACGGGACGAGGTGGAAGGGCAGCATTTCCCTCCTTCCCACCCCTGCAGGACAAATTTCTGGATGGGGTAAAGTAGCTCTCGGCTCTTAGGTGGGGGGAAATCAGTGCTGCATCGCTTCAGCCTCCTGCAGAGCGGTGGGAAGAGGTGCGGTGGGACAGGGGCTGCGGCGCACGAGGGCATGTGGGACTGTGCTGGTGACGGACATAAAGGCTCAGTGTGAGCTTTCACACTGGTAATAAGCATAATAGTCCTTCTCCGTGTGTTACGGTTTATATCTTCAAAGATCTGCGCTTGTGTTAACTAATTAATTAAGAGGAACAGCTAAAGAATCAGGGTCTCCCTGAAATTAAAACAAAACTTTGCAAGGTTTGCAAACATCCTTTGTGTCTTATCTACACGCCCACCTTCGTTTGGGCCATTTTCAAATGTTCTTTTTAAATTAAAACTGTGAATTCCTCTACATAGACTAAGGCTGCAGCCCGGTTTTTACATGCCCTGGAGGCTTTGGGAACTTACGTTTTTGTTAACTTTTTTTTTTTTTTTTAAGAATGATATTTTATTATTCATGTTCGTTGCTTGAAAAAAAAAAAACCAAGCAGGCTTGTTTAACACTGGAGACATAATTATCTGCAAGAGATTGTTTCCTGGTTGTGGCGTTGATGGTTTATTTTTTAATTTGCATTTTATAACTGGGGTAGGGTGGGGTGGTTTGGTGGGTTTTTTTTGCATTTCTTCAACTAATTCATATTTTAAAAGCAGCAGCAGCTATTCTCCAGGCACTCACATCAGAAAGGAATGAGCCAGGAGTTAAATTTTCATGTGCAACACATAGTGACTTAGGAGCGAAAGCCCCAAAGCCTGTTCGTTCCCCAGGCGCCCAGTACGACCACGGGCTTGGGTCTTTCCAGTGACTCCAACGAGGCATGGGCCTCTTTTAGTTTTTGTTATTTTTGGATGAAATGTAGTTTCTGAGGTCATTTTGGGTCTGTCTTCCGTTTTGTTTTTATTAAAGGGAGGTTAAAAAAAACCCAAAACGCCGTCAGCGGGCGCTCGCTGGGGGTTATTCCAGGCCAGCGGGCGCCGGCGGGGACGGACAGAGCTGCCCCTTTCGGTGTCTCAAACCGCTCTCTCTCTCTTTGCTCTCTCCCCCAAGGGCTCAATCGGCTTCCCAGGATTTCCAGGAGCCAACGGAGAGAAGGGCACACGGGTAAGAGCCGCTTTGTCAAGCCGTTTTGCTGATTTATTGGGGGTTTTTTTTCCCCTCCTCTCCAAAGAAAGCTTGCGGGGCAGGACGTGGTGAACGCTCCGTCAGCCGTCGGGCTGGTGCTCCGGTTGCTTTTGCGGGAAGGGATTGCTCCAAGAAGGGTCATCCCACCCGCCCGCAGCCCGGGACCAGGTCCCCAGCGCAGGGACCGTCGGACTGGCAAGCGGCTGCCGCCTCGGGCTGTTGGGAGAGGAGGATGCCAGTTCGAGCGCACTCAGCTCTGCAGACAGCAGCTTTCCAATTAAACACTGGAAATTTTTCCCTCCAGATATTTTAAGAGATTTCTCTGAACCTGAATCCTTCCCGCGCTGTCAGACTTTGCTCAGGGCGCGAAGAGCTTTTTAATTAACAGTAATTATTAGAGATGGGTGAATCTGTTCAGAAGCAGAGAGAACCATCTTTAGCCTAACTTGAGATTCAGAATGCGTAGAGGAAAACACTCTTACAAGTTCCTCCTTTTAATAAGCGGAGCTATTCTAAATGCATAAACACCTTTAAAATGTGGGGGCTCCATCCTCCAGACTTGTCTCTGCCTCTCACCCCACCTCCACAGACTCTGCTCCCGAGTAGGGATTGTCTAAATACACTGGTGATTTCTTTTATTTCATGGAAGACAAGCTTGAATTAGGGGATTCAGAGTACAAACATAAAGTCATTTTCTGCACCAGCTCTGGTCACAGGGAAAAAAAGGAGGGAGTGAGGAGAGCGAGTGGAATTAGTTTCCTTTTTACTCTCATTTAAATACAAATGACTTCTAACAGACGTGTTTGATAGGAGCCCAGAAAATATAAATCACTTTGCACTGCATTAATATCAGGCCACTGAAATTTGGTTTATATCCCCCTCCCTTTTTTTTTTTTTTCCCCCACTGAGTAATTTTCATTTCATTCTGAACTACAAATGTGCCATCCTCTCCCCTCCCTCCGCTCCGGCCGGGCGGGAGGAGAGAGACCATGAATAAGGCAGCTGCCATGACAGCCTTGAATTCACTGTAGCCCTGTAATTACCACCCCCCTTATCGAATATACAGCAATAAAATCCTCGGGCTGGATTTTTGGGTGGTGTAGAACAGGGCACGGGCACGGCAGCGGGGCGGAGACGTGGTGCTTTGCGTCCCTGAGCATCCCCATCCCTCTTGCTCCGTCTGCTAATTTTATTCTGGTGGGATGGAGAGCCAAACCGCTGGGATGGGAAACCTTACAGGGAGCGGAGCAGGTACCAGGAGCTGGTCGTTTATGAGATGGGAAAAACCCCCAGGGGTTGAACTGGTTGAGTTTTGGCAATGCCCAACTTAAAAGGGATTGAGGACGGAGCAGGCGTGCTGGGAAGGTGCCCAGCTTCAGGATGGAGCAATAATAAGAGAAGAAAAGGCAAAAAATCGGCAGTTTGCTCACTTTTATTCTAAAAGAGCTTCATGCCGTTAGGAGGAGGCAGTGAGGATGCTTAGTTGCATCCCCTGGCATGCCACGCGTTTCTTCGGTTTAGGAATTGCCAAGGGGTTTTTGCATTTCGAGCCCAGGTTGGAGGGAGATGGGGCAGCTCGTGTCGTGCTGGCTCGGGAGCTGCGACAGGGCTTGGCCAGGTCGGGCTCCGGAGAGCGCTGCGGTGGAGCCGGCAGCCCCGAAACCTCTGGGGTAAAGGAAGGGGACAGAAATCTGGGGAGAAATGAGGGTGGTTTTGTGCGTAGGGGCAGGAGGTGGCACCCCGACCCCTAAGGGGGAGCGCAGTCTGGCACACCTCTGTCAAATAGAAATAGGTTGTTTTATTTTATGGTAATTTCATTTTTTTTTTCCCTCTCCATTGTGTGATTTGACTATTTATGCCATTCCACACCCAGTCCAGCAGTGTGTGCTTGTTCTATTGGTGTGTTCGCGTGTGAGAGAGAGGGGTAGAGAGAGAGATTTTCATGGACGAATCTCACCTGTACTATAAGGAGCCCAGCTTGAAAACGGTTTAAGAGTAGCAAAAATACTGATTTTCAGTAACTGTTTTGGTTATCCTTCTTTTTTTTTTTTTTTTTTGGCTCCCAAGTATCCCATTTGAAATAAGTGAAAAGCAATTATGTACAGAACGATAGACTGAGCTGGGATCACACCACACAAACCAAATGGGAGACCATCAACTTAATTTAAGCCTCGTTGAGTTAGGAGTGATAAATCCTGCTCTGTTTCTCCTAAGACCACTAAATTTGCTGTTTTTATGACCGTGTCCACATATAGTCAAGAAAGAGGGTTTCTTAGATTTGTTCCTCCGATGCACTGTGGAGTAACCCAATTTGCAGCTGAAACAACCAAAAAATCATTTGTTTGTCTTCTCTTTTTACAAGGTATTACCTTTATGCTATTCAACGCAGTTGTTTATGTGTCTGAAATAATATGAATCACACGTTTCTTTTACGATCGTCATCATCTAGGAATTGAAATAAGCTTTCCAGCTCATTATTTCAGCAACACGAGTAGTCGTCCTGAGTCCTTAAATAAGATAAAAAAGGTGAAAAGCAAAGGCAGAAGAGCAGCACCAGCCAGTGCGGGCAGCGCGGGCAGCGTTGAATTTTGGTGCTCCCCGAATCTGAAACCACAGCTTCTGGCTGTTTGGCTGCATGAAAGGGCTGGCAAAGTTAAAAATGGGGAAAAAAAAAAAAAAGAAAAAGGATGTTTAGTGTTTTTGGAGAAGTGTGAGCTGTTAAATATCACAATAGTTTTGGTGAGCGGCTGCTCGTCGCGGTGCCCGTTCTCCCTCAGCTGCCCACAGCCGGAGGCGAGCTCGGATGAGCTTGCTTGGAGGTTTTCAAAACCTGCTCATAAAATCAATAGTTAGACGTGAATAAGTGGTCTTATTTTTAGAGCTAATAGGCCTCTGCCATTAGCACGGGGTAATAGATCTCCCTGCTCACCCGGTCTGACAGAGCCTGGGGCGTGTGTGGAGGTACCGAAATCCAGACCATTTATTTGGGTGCCGAGAAAATAATCTGAATTTAGATGCCTTTCCCTCGGTATGCCTATTTGAAAAATATAGGTCTGTGTACATTTACAGTGCTATATAAATTCTTCGCAACAGTACACAGTGCTGTATGCATGATTAATGATAGCAATAAGCAAGGGAAAATTTTGCTTAAAAATAGCATTGAAGAAGAAGGAGGAGAGTGTGTGGGGCTACCTGCAGGGAGGTGGCACACACTCCTCTCCACCTGCTCTGAATTTAGCCTCCCGTAGCTAAAGGAAAACCAGCTGGAGTACTTGAAAATGATTTTTGTAATTAATTAAAAAAAGGTATGCCAGCAGGGTTTATTAAATGGAGC